ACCCCTGGGCTAGGGACACCATCCCTGCCCATCCTGGCTAATAGCCATTGATGGACCTATCCTATATGAGTTTAACTAGCTCTTTTTTGAACCATTGTTGCAGTTCTTGGAGGGCTGACACAAAGCAAGTGCGGGCTGTTGGTCTCTTGTGCAACAAAAGCAGATGCACATCCAGTGTAAGCTTCGAAATTCTGTGTGGCCTAGTCCATTTTCTCTTTTGCTCAGTCCAGTAAGGGCACTGATACTCCACCTACTGGTGACAGAAACAACTGAAGTCTGGGACTGGGAACAGGCAAGTATATGTCTCCCAGAGAAGAGAGCCATCTACTGCATACTCCCCATCATTGCCTGAAATGTTTTGGTTAGACTTTGTAATTGGATAGCATTTGTATCAAAAACAGCTGTCCTGGAGATACATTATCCTACTTGCTTAAATGCCCAAACCCAGCAACTACTGTATTTCAAACTATCCATGAATGACAACGTTCTTCAGAGGAGTAAAAAGGAGAGCGAGGGAAAGAGGTCGGCAAACAAACAATCATAAGTACTGGTTTAGATTTTCTTTTTTTAATTGAGATAGTATATGTGCTGTCAGCAGCCTCCCATGGAAGATCAATCCACATGGATGCTATCTTAAGATACATGACTATAAAAGGAAAAATTCACAGGAAAGGAAAAAAAATCCATAAATTCTGAGAATTTGGGATCTCCCTAAGGTTTTCTATGGAATTGTAAGAGGTATACCAATATAGTCCTTTCAAGTAAGCAAACTGAACAACAGCACTAAGCACACCCATCTCACCTGAATGCTAATAATGAAGCCTATTACTATTAAAATAATGACATTTAAATATTTCTCAGCTGATTGCAATAGTGGAAGCATCCAGGTAATAGACTATTTTAGCATGGCTTTTTGGTGCACTAAAAATATCAGGCTTATCTCCCCTGGTTTTGCTGAACAACAGGATGATGACATGAAAGCTGAACTGAGACACAAAGATAGGTTTAGTTCAAAATTTTGTTTTTGTTAATTAACTCAACCCCCTTGCAAATATGTAAGGCAATGATTCAAGAGCCTGCTACTATGCACCTAAATTGAGAGTTGACAGAGCTCCAGGCTTCAGTTCTCTAATTTTTAAGCAAACATAGGGGAGACAGGTTTCAGAGGAACAGCCGTGTTAGTCTGTATTCGCAAAAAGAAAAGGAGTACTTGTGGCACCTTAGAGACTAACCAATTTATTTGAGCATGAGCTTTCGTGAGCTACAGCTCACTTCATCAGATGTGTACCGTGGAAACTGCAGCAGACTTTATATACACACAGAGAATATGAAACAATACCTCCTCCCACCCCACTGTCCTGCTGGTAATAGCTTATCTAAAGTGATCAACAGGTGGGCCATTTCCAGCACAAATCCAGGTTTTCTCACCCTCCACCCCCCCACACAAATTCACTCTCCTGCTGGTGCTAGCCCATCCAAAGTGACAACTCTTTACATAATCAAGTCGGGCTATTTCCTGCATAGATCCCACCACCAACCTCAGCCTGGTCCAGTCCACACAAGAGATCCACTTCCTGGACACTACAGTGCTAATAAACAATGGCCACATAAACACCACCCTATACTGGAAACCTACTGACCGCTATTCCTACCTGCATGCCTCCAGCTTTCACCCTGACCACACCACACGATCCATCGTCTACAGCCAAGCTCTGCGATACAACCGCATTTGCTCCAACCCCTCAGACAGAGACAAACACCTACAAGATCTCTGTCAAGCTTTCTTACAACTACAATACCCACCTGCAGAAGTAAAGAAACAGATTGATAGAGCCAGAAGAGTTCCCAGAAGTTACCTACTACAGGACAGGCCTAACAAAGAAAATAACAGAACGCCACTAGCGGTCACCTTCAGCCCCCAACTAAAACCCCTCCAACGCATTATTAAGGATCTACAACCTATCCTAAAGGATGACCCAACACTCTCACAAGTCTTGGGAGACAGGCCAGTCCTTGCCTACAGACAGCCCCGCAACCTGAAGCAAATACTCACCAACAACCACATACCACACAACAGAACCACTAACCCAGGAACTTATCCTTGCAACAAAGCCCGTTGCCAATTGTGCCCACATATCTATTCAGGGGACACCATCACAGGGCCTAATAACATCCGCCACACTATCAGAGGCTCGTTCACCTGCACATCCACCAATGTGATATATGCCATCATGTGCCAGCAATGCCCCTCTGCCATGTACATTGGTCAAACTGGACAGTCTCTACGTAAAAGAATAAATGGACACAAATCAGATGTCAAGAATTATAACATTCATAAACCAGTCGGAGAACACTTCAATCTCTCTGGTCACGCAATCACAGACATGAAGGTCGCTATCTTAAAACAAAAAAACTTCAAATCCAGACTCCAGCGAGAAACTGCTGAATTGGAATTCATTTGCAAATTGGATACTATTAATTTAGGCTTAAATAGAGACTGGGAGTGGCTAAGTCATTATGCAAGGTAGCCTGTTTCCTCCTGTTTTTTCCAAACCCCCCCCCCCCCCAGATGTTCTAGTTTAACTTGGATTTAAACTTGGAGAGTGGTCAGTTTAGATGAGCTATTACCAGCAGGAGAGTGAGTTTGTGTGTGTATGGGGGTGGGGGGGGAAGTGAGAAAACCTGGATCTATGCAGGAAATAGCCCGACTTGATTATGTAAAGAGTTGTCACTTTGGATGGGCTAGCACCAGCAGGAGAGTGAATTTGTGTGGGGGGGTGGAGGGTGAGAAAACCTGGATTTGTGCTGGAAATGGCCCACCTGTTGATCACTTTAGATAAGCTATTACCAGCAGGACAGTGGGGTGGGAGGAGGTATTGTTTCATATTCTCTGTGTGTATATAAAGTCTGCTGCAGTTTCCACGGTACACATCTGATGAAGTGAGCTGTAGCTCACGAAAGCTCATGCTCAAATAAATTGGTTAGTCTCTAAGGTGCCACAAGTACTCCTTTTCTTTTTATATGGGAGACAAGATTTGATATTTGTAAAGAAAACCCAACAAAGCTACCATCCACCACCATCTCTTTTTATTATAATGGTGTGGGAATTTCAAGCATTCCTTATATGTTACACAGAAGGAAAAAAAAGTATGTTCTCCTCCTCTAAGTCACTTTGAAAATAAGTTTGGTGTTGTAGAACTGGGAAAGGAAGTTAGCGAGAGCTTTCAGCTTATGAGAAAGAGAATCAGGCAACAAAAAGCAGTAGCAGATGGGAACACTGTACCCCACTGGAAACTCCAATAAGGAAAGCTTTCTGAAGAAAGCAGTAGTCAAACACATGAGCCAGCAGGGTGCCCAGAGCATCTCCCCTAATCCACTAAACACATAATTTTTCCAGTTGTAAGATTATTTATAACTCCAGTGTAAATACCCAGAGTAAGGGCACCTCTACACTGACAAAGTTAGAGAGCCGCTCAGAGAGCGCAGAAGGAAAACCGCTGTTGCTGCCTGCGCAATAGCATGTTCACACCTGCAGCACTATTCGGAGCGGTGCACTCTGGACAGCTATCCCACAGAGCACCTCTTTCTCTTTTGCCACAAAGACTTGTGGGAGGGGGTTGCGGGGCATCGTGGGTCCTGTCCCAAGGCCCTGTGATGCACTGCTTTGCATCCCAGCAATCCTTGTGCTTCCGTCCGCATTTGGCACCATCTTTCCATGGTTTGTGTACTGCGTGTCCTGCCTCTTTCGGGATTCCGAACTGCTGACCAGTATGTTGCTCGCTCTGACCAACAAATCATGAGTGGCAGTGGAGTTATTCCTTAAACTACAAGGGCAAGAGAAGTGAGACATTGATCTCGCCACGCGTAGTAGCTACGACACGAGATTGCTTGTGGCATTTAAGGAGGTGCTGATCACAGTGGAACGCTGCTTTTGGGCTTGGGAAACAAGCACTGAGTGGTTTCAGAGTAACAGCCGTGTTAGTTTGTATTCACAAAAAGAAAAGGAGTACTTGTGGCACCTTAGAGACTAACCAATTTATTTGAGCATGAGCTTTCGTGAGCTACTTGAGCTGTAGCTCACGAAAGCTCATGCTCAAATAAATTGGTTAGTCTCTAAGGTGCCACAAGCACTGAGTGGTGAGATCACATTGTGATACACGTCCGGGATGATGAGCAGTGGCTGCAGAACTATCGCATGAGGAAAGCCACATTCATGGGACTGTGTGATGAGCTCACCCCAGCACTGCGGCGCCAGGACAGGAGAATGAGAGCTGCCCTGTCGCTGGAGAAGCGCGTGGCAATTGCATTGTAGAAGCTGGCTACTCCAGACTGCTACCGATCTGTCACTAACCAGTTGGAAAGTCAACCATTGGACTTGTGTTGATAGAAGTGTGCAGGGTCATTAATCGCATCCTGCTCCAAAAGGCTTGTGACTCCGGGCAACGTGCGTGACATTGTGGATGGCTTTGCACAAATGGGCTTTCCTAACTGCAGAGTGGTGATAGATGGCGCACACATTCCAATTCTGGCACCAGACCACCTACCTCCCGAGTACATTAATTGCAAGGGGTATTTCTCAATGGATCTCCAGGCACTTCTGGATCAGCTTGGGCATTTCACAGACATTAATGTAAGCTGGTCTGGAAAGGTGTATGATGCATGCATCTTTCGGAACACTGGCCTGTTCAAGAAGCTGCACGCAGGGACTTTCTTCCCAGACCAGAAAATCATTGTAGGGGAAGTTGAAATGCCCATTGTGATCCTGGGAGACCCCGCCTATCCCTTAATGCTGTGGCTTATGAAGCCATACACAGGGCAACTTGACAGCATCAAGGAGAGGTTCAACAACAGGCTGAGCACGTGCAGAGTTGAGTGTGCATTTCACCATTTAAAAGCCCACTGGCGATGCCTGTATGGGAAGCTAGACATGGCTCATGACAACATTCCTATGCTTATAGCCGCGTGCTGTATACACCCATAGTATTTGTGAAGAGAAGGGTGAAAGCTTCACTGAGGGCTGGACTGCAGAGGCGGAGTTTGAACAGCCAGAGACCAGGGCTATTAGAGGAGCACAGCATGAGGCCATAAGGATCAGGGATGCCTTAAGGCAGTAATTTGAAGCTGAAAGCCACGAATATTTGTTGCTATGCTCAGGATTGAGGTGCTTGTAATTCTAGGAGGTGATTGGTGCACATGATGCAAGAAGGGGCCTTAACCTAATTGAATGTTGCTTTGCATGCTCTTTTTGCTTTCACTTAATAGAATAGAAATTGCTTTCAAACAAAATTATTTTATTAAAAGACAACTGGAGGAAAGACTCAAACAAAAAAATTCATCAGCAGGGAGGGGGATAGGGAAGGGGAAGGGAAGGTCTCAAGGAGGGGTCCTGGGTCAGCTACAGATTTGTTTATGTCCAGGGATCACACCCAACCTTCTCCTTTGGAGTACAATGCAGCAGGTGCTGTACTTCAGCAGGGCCAAACTGCAGAAGGATGGGTGTTGGTGCAGTGAGTAGTGGGAGTCGTCAATCCTGGACTGTGAGGAGGGAGGATTGGAATGCTGTGGGTAGACAGTGGAGCCAGGAGGTTGATAATGTGTTGGGGGTGTGTGTGTGTGGGGGGGCGGCACATGGGCAAAAGTTTTGCCACAGCGGCTGTAGGGAGAGCAGGTACGGAGCTGCTTGGTTTGAAGAGCTAGTATCACCTGGAGCATGTCCACTTGGTGGCTCCATAAGGTTTAAGAGCCGCTCCATGGCTTCTTTCTGGTGTGCCGCGTTCTCCTTTCGATCCCTGTTTTCGCTGTCCCACCACTCCTTCAATTCCTGTTTCTCTGCAGTGGAGTGCATCATAACCTCATAGAGAAAGTCCTCCTTAGTTCTTCTTGGCCGTTTTCTAATTCTGCACAGCTGTTCTGCTGCCGATAACAAAGAGAGAGGCTGGGGCTCACAAAGTCATCTCTGTGAAGTTTAAATGCAACATTTTACAGAAGCAGTATTGTTTTCAACACAGACAACACTGATTCAGTGCTTTAAAACATAGCCAGTACTGACACCTGTCACTAACTGGCTGACCCCAAGCAAGCACACAAGCCACATGTCCCCCAAAATGGCGAGTAGCGACAGGGGCAGGGTAAATCTCTCTTCCTGGACCCTGCTGTACACTGGGCACATGGCTCTTGGGGAGAGCTAGCACTGTAGGAGGGGCCTGATAATCATTCCTGTCCCCACACTTTCCTCAGGAGGTGATCATTATGGGAGACATTCACCACTGAGGGTGAGCAGGGAATCAAGGGAGGGTCTTCTCCAAGCCTGTGGCTTCCGCCCTGGCCTCTATGTGGCTCGCCTGTGTGCAGCAATGATCCCCCCACCCATCACAGGAAAGTGGCCCGGGAAAGTTACCGTTAATGGGGCAAGAAACAAAGCACCTCTGCTCAGAAATCTGCAGCAGCGGATTGCCCAGTATCTCCATGAGAGTTTCCTGGAGATCATGGGAATCTCCCTCAGAGGAGCAAGGGAATCAACAGCCTGTTCCGCCGTTCAGACTAGGCATGCGGTGGGAGACGAGCCTGCTTTCTGCAACCCTCCTGCCCCCAACAACTTGCTTCAGCATTTCCCAAAATCAGATCCACTTACTAGGGTCTTCCTCTCCTGTTTGCGCTTTGCCAAGATCCGACTGCTGTGACTGGCTAGGCTCCTCTGGGGTAGAAAAGAGCTCCTGACTGCATGCATCTCTGGCCTCCGAGTCATCCTCTGCCTCTGGGTCCTCCGTCCCCTCTTTCTCCAAGGATTTCCTCCTCCTGGCTCGGTCCACTCTCAACTGACATGCAAGCCAACAAAGTATCCACAGGGGCCTTCGCAGTGGAGTTACCACCGAGTATTGTGTACAGCTTTTTGTAGAACTGGCAGCTCGTGGGCACAGCACTGGAGCATCAGTTTGCCTCCCGCGCCTTGTAGTAGGCATTCTGCAGCTCCTTCACTTTGACCCTACACTGCAATGTGTCCCGCTCATGGCCCCTTTCTAACATGCATCATGAAATCTGTCCGTAGGTATAATTCCTATGGCTGGAGTGCAGCTGGGACTACACAGACGCCTCTCCCCAAATGTAGATGAGGTCCAGCAGCTCGGCATTGCTCCAAGCGGGGGGATCGCCTGGTGCATGGAGCAGGCATGGCCACCTGGAAAGATGCGCACAGACCATTGCAAGGACCACCAAGCAAACAGGAAGGGGACTTTCAAATTTGCAAAGGAATGTATGGGCTGGGAATGACAATTGGTCACGTAAGGGCAAGGCAGTAGAGTTCAAACGGATGACCAGGAGGTGAGAACTGGCTTCCTAGAGGTGTCCCACAATGCCTACCACAGCGCTGTAAGTGCCACGGTGTCTATGCTGGCACCACAGGGCTGTAGCCCCAGCACAGAAAGCTCTATGCCTCTCGTCAGGGTAGTTTTTGTTTGTTTTTTTTAAAAACAAGAGTGCTACAGTGGCGCAGTTTCTGCGCACTGAGTGGCTTGGCAGTGTTGGGAGTTACTGCACAGAAAGCTGCTTTACTACGCAGAAACTTGCCAGTGTAGACAGGGCTTCAGTTGCACCAATACGGTGTAAGTCACAGTACATCTACACAGGGATTTGCACAACACCTACAAGATCTTCACCAAGCATTCTCAAAACTACGATACCCACACGAGGAAATAAGGAAACAGATCAACAGAGCCAGACGTGTACCCAGAAGCCTCCTGCTGCAAGACAAGCCCAAGAAAGAAACCAAGAAAACTCCACTGGCCATCACATACAGTCCTCAGCTAAAACCTCTCCAACGCATCATCAGTGATCGACAACCCATCCTGGACAACGATCCCTCACTTTCACAGGCCTTGGGAGGCAGACCAGTCCTTGCCCACAGACAACCTGCCAACCCTAAGCATAGTCTCACCAGCAACTACACACCGCACCATAGAAACTAACTCAGGAACCAATCCATGCAACAAACCTCTATGCCCACTCTGCCCACATATCTACACAGCGACACCATCACAGGACCTAACCAGATCAGCCACACCATCACCGGTTCATTCACCTGCATGTCCACCAATGTAATATACGCCATCATGTGCCCCTCTGTTATGTACATCGGCCAAACTGGACAGTCCCTACGTAAAAGGATAAATGGACACAAATCAGATATTAGGAATGGCAATATACAAAACCTGTAGAACACTTCAACCTCCCTGGACACACAATAGCAGATTTAAAGCTATTTAAAGATTTAATAGCCATCCTGCAGCAAAAAAACTTGGAGGACCAGACTTCAAAGAGAATAAGCTATTACCAGCAGGACAGTGGGGTGGGAGGAGGTATTGTTTCATATTCTCTGTGTGTATATAAAGTCTGCTGCAGTTTCCACGGTATGCATCTGATGAAGTGAGCTGTAGCTCACGAAAGCTCATGCTCAAATAAATTGGTTAGTCTCTAAGGTGCCACAAGTAGTCCTTTTCTTTTTGCGAATACAGACTAACACGGCTGTTCCTCTGAAACCTGCTGAGCTTCAGTTCATTTGCAAATTTGACACCATCAGCTGAGGATTAAACAAAGACTGAATGGCTAGCCAACTACAAAAGCAGTTTCTCCTCCCTTGGTGTTCACACCTCAACTGCTAGAAGAGGGCCTCATCCTCCCTGATTGAACTAACCTCATTATCTGTAGCCTGATTCTTGCATGCATATTTATACCTGCCTCTGGAAATTTCCACGACATGCATCCGACGAAGTGGGTATTCACCCACGAAAGCTTATGCTTCAATACATCTGTTAGTCTATAAGGTGCCACAGGACTCTTCGCCGCTTATGTCAATATAGTGGTGCAAAAATCCTTAAGGTAGGCAGGTCATCACAACTGATTCCTCCTCAAGGAATAAATTGTGAGAGGTTGGGGTGTGGAAGAAAATTCAGGATGTGCTGTGCCATTCAGTGGATAGTATTACCCTGCAGGAGACTATTTCAGAAAGTATCTTCAAAGCAGGCTAAAATATAACCTTCCAATAAGAAAGCCCTGGGGGACAGAAGTGCAGGACTGTAAATAAGATTAAGGTAAAATGGTCAAGAGTGCCTAAAGATCCTTAATCCCAAGTGATTTTCTATGAGATTTAGGTTCCTAGATGCCTAAATCCACTTTTAAAAATAGGACTGAGACACATTAGCAACTCCAGACAGGTTGCAAAGTGGCCAAGACAATGAAGGACAGTCTACCTTAGGCACAGAGTGAAGTTCAAAACCAGAGCAAGGAAATGCTGGAGTGCAAGAAGTATTCCAAAATGAAAGTCTCACTCACTCCCTGTCCAGGCACAGACAAGTGGATGAACTTCAGTGAAAGATGTCTGAATGAGTCCAATTTTATTAAGAATACATAGTCTCTAAAGGTACTTACATAGGTTATCCCTGATGCTCTCAGGAAAAGGATCAGATGTCCTTAAGGTAAAGATAAATACAACTCCCGTTCTGAAGGAGGGTGGCTATAATTAACACTAAGCTTTTGGCAAAATGCTGAAGCCAGGTTGGAAAGTGGGGGGTGGGGGGTGGGAAGAAAGAGGAGGGGAAAAAATTTCAGAATCTGAAATGGACATACCTACATTTTGCCTTTTGGGGTAACACTAGCCCCGGGGTGGCTGACCTGTGGCTCCGGAGCTGTATGTAGCTCTTCAGAGGTTAATATGTGGCTCCTTACCTAGGCACTGATTCCGGGGCTGGAGCTATAGATGCTAACTTTCCGATGTGCTGGGGAGTGTTCACTGCTGAACCCCCTGCTCTGCCCCAAGCCCTGCCCCCACGGCCCCTGCCCCTGAGCCTTGCATGCCCTTGCTCCTCCCTCCCATAGCCTCCTGCACATGTGAAACACCTGATTGCAGTGGGTGGGGGAGTAGGAGCTGATTGGTGGGGGCTGCCAGCAGGCGGGAGGCACTGGGGAGCAGATGGGGGGCTGCTGACCTATTACTGTGGCTCTTTGGCAATGTACATTAGTAAATCATGGCTCCTTCTCAGGCTCAGGTTGGCCACCCCTGCACTAGCTGTTAGGAAAAAAAGAGAGAGAGATTGCAGATTTCAATGAATTTATGGATTTTGAAGTAGCTGTCCTAGACATTTGAAATTAAGTATGTACCATTAGTCTGCTTTATATAAAGTCAACTTCAAAAACACTCAACTAAATACTACTTCTAATCTGGAACTCTCTCACCCAAAATGTTTTACAGGACCATGAAAGGCATTTTGGGAGCTTAGGTTTCCCACTTTAGGAAACTTTAAAGCAGCCAGTGATAGTGAGATAGCTAATTCTTACCCATGTCAAAGTGTAGATTCAAAAGCTCCTGCCGCCCCTCCTCCATCTTAATGGCGAATCCCAAGCCCAGTTGTGCTGTGCATCTGACTGCATTGATGCCTCTACTTCATTTGTTGCTCACTGTGAATTTGTAGGGTTTCAAATTCCAGAGCTCAACAACTAAATTGTTGTGATAACAGCGGACACTAGCAGGGCCAGCTGACAAAGCTATTTAACTTCACCGCAAACATTAAATTAAGGTAGAGTGAAAAATCTAGCACTCCTTCTAAACGTCCTCCATCATAACAGGCAGGAATTGCTCATCAGCCCTGTATCGTGAAGCCTAAATATTTCTGCACTCCACAGCTGCTCCAAAGTAAACTGCATTCAGGGGATAGAAGACAAAGTATAGGAGAGGATGCAAAAGACAAAAGAAAGTGGTTAAGAAATAAAATGGCAGATGGAAGTATATTAGAGACAGTGGCGGGGAAAAAAAGAGACAGCTTTAAAGAATGAATACAATCACACCAACATTAAATTGGCAATTTTCAGTTTTGGCAGACTGACCTACTTGGTCTTCCATTCCCCACAGTTAGAATTCAAATGCTCATGTGAGTTTGTACTTTAATAGATGTCATCAAGGGAAACTCCTATTTTCTAATTCTCCCATTCCCAAGCATAAAGTTTTCTCCTTGTTTCACTAGAGCCTGGATTTGGTGACCTCTAGAACATCCTGGAAGACCTGTTTTTCCCCAGGCATCTCCAAAGGAACATGGTTGGGAAGATATTGTAGATTATCTCTATTCTTTTTAGGATTATGGGTCTTATTTGAGTGTTCTGTATTGCTATTTTCTGGAAGCTTAATATTATAGAAGCATTGGCAGCAACTCACAGCTAGGACTGGAATCTGAAACAGGTTTGAAATGGGGCATTAAGTAAATAGTTTCTATTCTATATGTAGCCTTTTGACAGCATTAGGGCATGAAAGCTATTTTTCTGTATAGTTACTTTCGTTTCTTTTCATAAATTTAATCAGTGTTTGAAATTGGTCTGTCTGAAACTTGTCTATGATAGACTGCTATCTACACAAGTTAGTAAAAAGGGAAAGTATGTTACGGAAAGTGAAAGTATCTGGTAAAACAGGTAGATTGGACTTAATAAAATAAAAAAGGTAGTTTTGAAAATGAACTATTCTCATAACTGAAAGGTTATCTTTCAGCAGAGGCTAGAGCAGGGGTGGGCAAACTTTTGGGCCTGAGGGGTTGCAAAACTGTCCGGAGGGCCGGGTACGGAAGGCTGTGCCTCCCCAAACAGCCTGGCTCCTGCCCCCCATCCACCCCCTGACTGCCCCCCTCAGAACCTCCAACCCATCCAACCCCCCAGCTCCTTGTCCCCTGTCTACCCCCTCCTGGGAACCCCCCCCGCTCCCTGTCCGACTGCCCCCCCCCCCGCCTCCTATCCACACCCCCACCTCCTGACAGGCCTCCTGGGACTCCCACTCCCAACCCTCCCTGTTCTCCGTCCCCTGACTGTCCCCCCAGAACTTCCGCCCCATCCAACCGTCCTCTGCTCCCTGACTGCCGCCTGGGACCCACCGCCCCGTTACCATGCTGCTCAGAGCAGCAGGAGCATGCCGCCTGGCCAGAGCCAGCTGCGCTCCCTGCGCTGCCCAGTAGGAGCAGCAGGCCAGAGCGCTGCCTGCACTGTAGCATACCTATGGGGGAGGGGCCGGAGGCTAGCCTCCCCGGCCAGGAGCTCAGGGGCTGGGGCAGGACGGTCCTGCAGGCCGGATGTGGCCTGCGGGCCATAGTTTGCCCACCTCTGGGCTAGAGGATAATCCTTTCAAGACCATTCTTCTTTCAGGGAAAAATCAAAGAATGGCAATTGATGGCCACTATCTCCCATTTTCTCCATGGGACTGAGCCCACAGGCTACTCTTAGTTAAGAGAGTATGACCATTTCCCTTCAATATGTGCAGGAGGCTCAGGCTCACCTTAGTAAAGAAAGGGCAAAGGGAGTGCAATCAAGTTGCTCTTGGGGAAGTTGGCATCTGTTTATGCTTTCAAGAGATAGGTTAGTGTGAGGAGCAGGAGAACGAGAGGGGGACAAGATGGGAAACTGGGGGTGTGTATGTGCAAAGACTGTGGAGGGAAGGACGGAAACAGGGACAGATGCAGGGTGGATCATAGAATCATAGAATATCAGGGTTGGAAGGGACCTCAGGAGGTCATCTAGTCCAACCCCCTCCTCAAAGCAGGACCAATCCCCAATTAAATCATCCCAGCCAGGGCTTTGTCAAGCCTGACTGATCAGAAGACAACCCATTGAATACAGACAACTGAGAGCATGATGAGAGAGGGACAGTGTGGTAGGGGAAAGGATGAAATAAGAGGAAAGATGCCAGCTTAACCATTTTAGCTGTTAGGGGAACTTTCTCCAGGCAGCCAATGGAAAGGCTCATAATTTGTTTAATTTAAAATTCAACCTGAAATATGTGATGATCACATGCTGGATCTGCATCTTTCCTCAGACTGCTCAAAGTGACTTTCATTCATGTAGGGAACACCATGTCTCCACAATAATAATCCTTCCTACACAATACTCAGCCCTTGTTTACCAAGTCAGAAGAGAAGCCAAAATCAGGTCTCTCTCTAAAAGGGAAACTGCAAACATTAGACACCAGTCTACTGGGACAACTTCCAGTTCAATATTTTGATGAACTGAAAACTAACTCAAAGCTCAACAACACTTCTTCATATTATGTACCAGTTTTTTTTTTTTTTTTTAAATTGAAGTATCAATATAAAGGAAGAATATAAAACTATTTTATTGACCACCGTTCACCAGTATTTACAATAAAGTAAACAATATACAGTATGATAACATTCAAATTACTACAAAGTTAGTTTTTACCTGGCCTCTTTGGGACTAAATTACCTCAAAGACTAAAAAGAATGGTTCTACATGTTACGGGGCTAGGTTGGGGTAAAGAAGATACATGCACATCAATAGCATAGAAGACTATAAAACATCTGTGAGTTTGTTTAAACATTTGTTATGATTCAGTAATAACTATGGAGGATCATGAAGGTTTAAAAAAGCCTTTACCTAATATGGAGGAAATAGTATCAAATGCTGTCCTTTCATTAATGAAGCAAGTTGCAGAAAGCCTTTATTTACTTGCTGTTGATGCAAAACACACTACTTCAAAAAACAAACATATCAAACTCAATTCTCATTAGAATGTAGAGGTTTCTCACATTGCTAATAAATCAAAAGAATAAAATCCAAATCCAGGTTTTAATATTCATATATATATATAAAAAAGCAATGCAAATGATTATTGTGCTTCATCTTCCGGACACGAATGCCAAGTTAGTCGCTCTTCATAAAAAGCAATTACAATCTGAGGACATTTCATGTTAGCTTCTTTGGCCAGCACCAAGTCTGCCTCATCCGAGTCTTTCCTAAGAGGGCAGGGTTTAAAAAAAAAAAAAAAAGTCTTGAGTTTAAGAGCTATTACTAAACCAGATGTGTCTGCAATTGAGATTAGAATATATTTCATGATCAAGGAGCAGAGGTAGGAGTTTAAATTTTAGAAATATCTATCCCTATTAATCACCACTAGCAACTTTCCAGAGGCCATCACTCTGAGAAGGTCCTCTTAAAAGGACATCAATTGAACATCACAATTTCTAGTTAATAGCAGTTTCAATACAGCAGTCCCCAGTTTTCTCTGCCAATTTGTGTTTTACAGTCACATTTTCCCCTCAATAAAAAACGTCTCTCTTTCCTGTTTGAGAGATCCACACAGACAAAAAGGGAAACACTGCACAAAGAAAACACTGACTACACAAAGGATATAACCTGTCTAGTATTATGCATTACTTCTAATGTCATGTAAAACTTTTCAGACAGCTGTCACGGACAGTTAAATTGACAGTGTCACTCTGGGTAAACTGGACAATCACAAACTATTAAATCCAATTGGAACATATGCAATAAACAATTTATCAGATTGCAATTTTTGATCCCGTGTCAGAGTGAGAGAAAATGCAAGACAGACACAGTTGATACCCCTGTATTTTAAAAACTTTTACTGATTTCACATGCATGTTAGAAGTAGGCTTGTTGCATATAACAAAGTATAAGCTATCCACAAAGACAGGAAATAAGAACAAACAAGTTCTCTCATTTCTTCATTTAATAATGCTACAGAAATTCCAAATTGCAACAACCTGCATTTTATATACATCCCAAACTTCACATATCCACTACTTGTGGTTTTTAAGAGGATGAGTAAGAGTCTTCTAAAGTGCAAATCTTTAAGTGTCTCAAAGTGAGACTCTGATATTTTTGGGGTAACTCAGTTGGACTTCATTGAGAGCAAAATTAGACATTTAAATAAAGGGATGGAAGCTACTATTGCACTGCCCACACTCCTCTGCCAAAAAGCATGTATTCAGTCTCTCATTAGTTTGACCAATGAATATTAGAAATGAGATTCCAATCTTACTCTACTTACTATTTGCTCAGAACAGGTTCCCAAACACAGAAACAAGTAAATTGTCATCTTTCCTGTCTCATTCCAAAAAGGAAATGGTTTCTTACCAGTTTAAACAGTGGATCAGAGTTGTCTGTACATCACTTACCATTTCATGAGAAACATAAGTTCTCCGCTGCTATCTGTGGCCCCAATTATCCGCTCAGGATCAAGACCTCTTGCAAATCCCCTTGGTTTATCAACCTATTAGAAAGGTTGAAAGTCACATCTAGTTTAACATTAATTTTCATCATTTTAAGGCAAGTGTCAGACAAGTTACAGCTTACATCAAGTCAAGATTTATTTTGTCATTTTATGCTTTAGAATGAGCCACTGAATTAGTTAAATTTAGCAAAAAAGATGAATTTACATCATTAATATACACATTTATTTCAGAAAACTAGATAAGGCAGGAAGCATCTTTCTAGTGGAAGCTTAGTGTAAAGGTCAGGGAACATCGTAGCATCCCATAGTTCGCCTATATGAGTGTATGAGTGACATGCAAACTGCAGCCAATTTCCTGAGTTTAGGAGCGCGGCAATAGCTCTGAGTTAGAAGTGATTTCTGCAGAGAAATTAAAATCCAAGCCTGCAAACAGGTATTTCCTTGTGAAAAAAAAAAAAATCACAATGATGTCAAGGGTACCATACAGGAATAACTAAGAGTATGCAGTCATTGTTTACATGACCATACCCTTAAGATTAAACAAAAAATCTCTTATTTTAAATTTCAATTTTTAGACTAATTTAATTTGCTTAACATTCAAATTTAAGGTTATTTTAAGAAGACTGCCTATCACTTTATAAGTAAGGCTATGATTTAGTGACAGGTGTTTTTAGTAAAAGTCATGGACAGGTCACAAGCAATAAACAAAAAGTCACCACCCATGACCTATCCATGACTTTGCTGCTCCCAAAGCAGCAGCTGGTGCAGCTTACCCAGGGGCCGCCCCAGCTGCTCGGGCAGCCCTAGGGTCAGCCACACCGGCTGCTGTAGAAGACATGGAGGTCCCAGAAAGACATGGAATCTGTGACTTCCAAGACCTCCACAAAAGACTTGCAGCCTAACTTATAAGATCTACAATGTAGACCGGGGCGGGCAAACTTTTTGGCCTGAGGGCCACATCGGGTTTCCAAAATTGTATGGAGGGCTGGTTAGGGGAGGCTGTGTCTCCCCAAACAGCTAGGCATGGCCTGGCCACCGCCTCCTTATCCGACTCCCCCCGCTTCTCGCCCTCTGAGACTCCTGCCCCATCCAACCCCCCTGTTCCTTGTCCCCTGATGGCCTCCCCAGGACTCCTACTCCATCAAGCCCGCACTGTTCCCTGTTGGCCCCGCTGGGACTCCTGCCCCATCCACCACCTCCTGCTCCCTGACCACCTCCAGACCCCCCACCCCGACTGCCCCCTGCAACCCCATCCAATCCCCCCCATTCCTGACTGCCCCCCGAGACCCCTGCCCCATCCAACCCCCCTGTTCCCCACCCTCTGACTGCCCCAACCCCTATCCATACCCCCGCCCCCTGACCACCCCCCGCCCCTGAACTCCCCTGCCCTCTATCCACCCCCCCCCCCCCCAACCGTGCACCACAGAGCACTGGATCAGGTTGCGGCTCTGCAACTGCACTGCCCGGCTGCCCAGAGCATCGCGCTGGTGGCATGGCACGCTGAGGCTGTGGGGGTGAGGGGGGCAGCAGGGGAGGGGCCAGCCTCCTGGACCAGGAGCTCAAGGGCCGGGCAGGAAGGTCCCACGGGCCGTAGTTTGCCCACCTCTGATGTAGACTGTTTTACCAACTTAAGTGTCTCATGTCAAATAATTTTGTTTTATAGTGAACTAATGCCCACTGTGTACTTTTGTGCATCAGTAATAAAAGGTAAAGAACAGCTCTAGGAAAAGATGACCAGTTACCTTTTTCTCCCCTTGCTGGTCTTAAATGGCAATGGTATCTTTTCCTCTACCCCTATTTTCAGATGCAGACTTGGAATGATTTTAGACTAGTCATTACCCATGAGATAATTACTTTGAAGTTAGGTCATTTCAGGCCTAAACTTATCAACAGCATCCCTTTAAAGCAGAGGTGGGCAAGCTATGGCCCGCCCGGTCCCAAAGCTCCTGGCCAGGAAGGCTAGCCCCCAGCCCCTCCCCTGCAGCCTCAGTTCACCGTGCTGCCAGCACTCTGGCAGCATGGCTGGCTCTGGCTGGGTGGCGTGGCTGCGAGCCCCTGCCGCTCTGAGTGGCATGGTAAGGGGGCAGGGAGTTGGATAAAGGGCAGGAGGCCCCAGGGGGGAAGTCAGGGGACAGGGAGCGGTTGGATGGGGCAGAGGTTCTGGGGGGTGGTGGTCAGGGGACTGGGGGTTGGATAGGCGTGGGAGTTGGGCAGGGGGGCTGTCAGGGGGTGAGGGTGTGGATAGGGGTCGGAGCAGTCAGAGGACAGGGAGCGGGAGGGTTGGATGGGGGTGAGGTCCCAGGGGGTGGTTAGGGGTGGGGGTCCCAGGAGGGGGCGGTCAGGGTACAAGGAGCAGGGAGGGTAGGATGGGTCAGGGGTTCGGGCCAGGCTGCTTGGGGAGGCACAGCCTTCCCTACCTGGCCCTCCATATTAGTTTCGCAACACTGATGTGGCCCTCGGGCCAAAAAGTTTGCCCACCCCTGCTTTCATGTGTGGTACATTTAGAAGGTGTGAGAACAGATCTAGATATGCGAGTTTATTTCTTTGACTTTCAAGAGTTATCAACTTTTACTGTTTTAGTTCATAGGAAAATAGGAATTGCCATACTAGGTCAGATCTAAGGTCCATCTAAATCCAGTCTGCTGTCAGACAATGGCCAATACCCGATGCCTCAGAGGAAGATGTAAAATCCCCACAGTAGGCAGACATGGGATAATATGTCCCCAGAGGTCTCATTCTGATCTCTAATGGCAAAGATTTAAAACAGGGTTGGACATGGGTATCAGGAATATCCAGATTAATGACAAATTTTGTAAGGGACACTAATGCTTCAGGACCTAAGTTAATATCTTAAGTACTTGGCCTGAGTGACTTCCTATTGTAATGAATTCCACAGTTTAATTATCCATTGGGTTAAAAGTATTTCCTTTTACTGTTTTTGAATTTCCCACTTTGTAAATTTCATTGAATGTCTCTTTGTCAATGTATTATGAGACAGGGAAGAACAGGAGTTCCCAATCTACCTTCTCTATACCATTAACCATCATGTATACTTTTATCATGTTCCCTTTCAGTCATCTCCTTTCTAAAGTAAATAATCCCAATCTTTCAATTTCTCTTCATGAGTTTAATCCATGCCTTTGATTGGTCTCACTGCTCTTCTCCCCCTCCCCTCACCCGTTGTACAATATCCTTTTTGAGATGGGGTGATCAATACTATATACAGTATTCCATATGAGGCCATACACTGATTTATATAAAGGAATTAGAATATTTGTATTATTCATCATCCTACCCCCATGCCAGTGGTTTTCAAACTTTTTTTCTGGCGACCCAGTTGAAGAAAACTGTTGATGCCCACGACCCTATGGAGCTGGGGATAAGGGGTTTGGAATGTGGAAGGCTGGGGCAGAGAGTTGGGGGTGTGGACTGTGGGGTGCAGGAGGGTGCTCTGGTTTGGGGGGGCCCAGGTCTGAATCAGGGGGTCAGGGCTCTGGGTGAAGGCTCAGGGCTGGGGCAGGGGATTGGGGCACAGGTTTACCTCCAGCAACTCCTGGACAGCAGCACAGCTGGGGTGCAGAGGCAGGCTTCCTGCCTGTCCTGGCACCAGAGAGACCACAGTGCGCTCCGGAAGTGGCCAGCAGCAGGTCTGGCTCCTAGGTAGAGGCGCGCAAGCGGCTCTACGCGACTCTCACCCACAGGCACCGCCTCCCACAGCTCCGGCCAGTGGGAGTGCAGAGCTGGTGCTCGGGCAGTGCGTAGAGCCCCGTGCCACTCCCCCAGCGCGTAGAAACCGGACCTGCCGCTGATCACTTCTGGGACACAGCGCCGTGTTGGAACAGGTAGGAACTAGCCTGCCTTAGCCAGGCAGCACCACTGATGGTGGTGCTGATGAGAGCTGCTGCGACCCAATGTATTCTATTCCATGACTCAGTACTGGGTCATGACCCAGTTTGGAAACCACTGACCTATGCATCCTAACTTTAAAAAAAAAACAAAAACAAAAAACGAACTACACAGCTGCATACTGAACAGATATTTTCAGTGAGCTGTCTACAATGACACCAAGGTCCCTTGCTTGAATTAATAGTTACTTTAGAATCCTGCAAGACATTTATGTTTTCCCCTCCAATATACATTATTTTGTACTTGTCAGCAATGAAATCATTCACCATCATGCTGCCCATTTTTCTAGTTTGTTTAGGTCTTTCTGAAATTCTTCAGCCCTCTCTGGTCATGACTAACCTAAACATCTTTTTCATTTGCAAATGTTAGTAGCATCACTCACCTCCCTTTCTAAATCATTAATATATTAAAACATTGGACCTAGGACAAAACATTGAGGCACCGTAACCCATGATGAAAATTGACCATTTAATCCAGGGGTTCTCAAACTGGGGGTCGGTACCCCGCAGGGGGTGGTGAGGTTCATACATGGGGGGGGGGGGGGGGTTGCGAGCTGTCAGCCTCCACCCCAAGCCCCGCTTTACCGCCAGTATTTATAATGGTGTCAAATATATAAGAAAGTATTTTTACTTTATGGGGGGGTGCGGGAGGTCGCACTCAGAGGCATGTTGTGTGAAAAGGGTCACCAGTACAAAAGTTTGAGAACCACTGATTTAATCCTATTCTCTGCTTCATTATCTCCTAGAGCCATAATAATACTCTCACCAAGGAATACTTATCTTCTTTCGTGGAACCTTGTCAAAAGGTCTTTTGGAAGTCCAAGGAAGACTTTGTTGACTATTTATTCACTACTTTGTCATGTTCAAATATATTAGTGAGACAACTTTCTTTTGCAGAAGCCATGCTGGTTAGACCCTATCATCATGATCTTCCAGGTGTTTTATTATTCTGTTTTTAAATTATTGTTCTAAACCAATTTTCTAGATATAGATGTATGGCTTGTCTACAATTCCCTGGATCACTCCTAGAATTTTTTAAAATTTGGGTACAAACATTCAACATAAGAAAAAGCATTTGTATAGCAACAACTTCAAAATACTTACAGAATCCCTCTTTTTCTTTGATTTGCTGTCATCAGATTCACTATCTGATAAAGATTTTCTTTTACCACCATCTGTTTTTTCTTTACCAGCTTTCTGGGAGTTCAGAAAGGCTTCAATTAACTCTGGACAATCTAAGTTTTCTTCAGGCTCCCATGTGTTGTCAGCACTGAAACATACATACAGCTAGCTCATGAGATTATCAAAAGCCCAGAAACCTAATTTAGCCACATAACTGACAGTAAGCAAAAGCTTCTTCCCCAGCACATAAAACAGGCTTCTTAAAGAAGAGGGGAGTCTACTTTATTTTCTTAAATTACCTTGCAGTCATCAGATATGCACTTAGAGTTATGCTCTATTCTGTTATTGCTGCAGAACAACTGCTGACAGAAGATACAGTACAGACATCCCCATCCACAACATTTTTTTTTTTAATCCCTACCAACCCACCCAGTAGAAGCTGACTGACCCTCGAAACTCTACTCCCTTCCTATTTAAACACCTTCAAATACAGATAGAGAACCATATAAACTGTCTGGGGGCATAAGAAGAAGCTAATTAAGTCTGGAAACTATCCAAGTGTGCTTAGTTTTATTTGCTACTGAATGTCAAATCTATTAACTGTGTCCCTAGACAGTATAAGTGCCTTCTCAGTCAATCATATGCACCAGTACCAAACATTGCACAAACATGGGAATCCCCAAGATATTTTCAGTTACTGAAATATACTGGGATATCTTGAGGCAAGTCCCATAAACATCCAGACTAAACAAGTTACTGCTATGTACATCTGAGCAGAATATGCACTTTAGGAGATAATACACAGGCAATCATAGTGTGACTATTTTGAGCAATATACAATTATAACATAAATGTGTTACTCTTGAGGGAATTCTGTGCTACAAAGTAAAAATCCTGTGTACAGTTTAAAATTCTGCAGTTTTTTATTCGTCAATAAATAAATGTGGAGGCTCCAGCATGTCAGTGGGGAGCACAGGCCACTTGCTGCACAGAGGTAGATCACCCTGCAGCTCCCCCTCTCCTGGGACAGGGACTCAGCCATGAGGCTGCACCCAACCCTGGCACAGTACAAGGGCCAGGCCTGCCCCAAAAACACCCTGGGACCCCGCCCCCTCTGCGCCAGGTGCACTAGGTGTGGGCAAGCAGGCTCAGCCCAGCAGGATCCAAGTGTAGAGGGGCTTAGTGTGGTGGAGAGATCCAGATGTGGGGTCAGAGGATTTTGTGTGGGGCAATCCGATGCAAGCAGCTTGGGGGGGAGGGAGGGAGCAGGTGTGGGGGAGGGAAGAATCTGGATGCACAGGGGCTCGTTGGGTAGTTCCAGGCAGAGGGGCAATGGGACTCTGCAGGATGGTCCAGGTGAAAGTGGTTGGGAGCTAGTTGGGCTCAATGGAATAGGAGTCTGGGGGGCTTGTTGGGATGGTCCAGGTAGGTGCACGGAGGGGTGGCGGTTCAATGGGCCTGCTTAACAGGGGAGCCCTAGAGGCGGCCAAGGGGACACCCCATGAAGGGCTCCCACTTCCTCCCTCTCTTTCCCATCCCTTTCCTAATGCCCCTCCCCAAGCACTATCCTCCCGCCCATCAATCCCACATGCCCCTCTCCCAGCTCCCTCCTCCCACTCCACCCTCCCTTCCCCCATGGGCACTCACTGGATGGCTCCCAGCACACAGAAGGGGAGCACAACTAGCACTAGAACCCAGGAGGCAGTGTCCAGCTGCAGAGTCAGCAGAGCCAAGCGGCACCCTCCTTTACCCAGCCAGTTCTGTGCTCACAGAAATAGAGGGGAAGGAGTGGCACAACCCCATACCTCTGTTTGGGGGGCAATGCCTCAGTGAACTATGCCCATGGACATCCCCAAGCGCCCACCTTCCCCATTATTTTCTGCAGGGAAGCAAAGAAATCTACAAAGGGACATGAATTCTGTGTACACACAGTGGCGCAGAATTCCCCTAGGAGTAATGTGTGCAAGATTGTGGATGTGTTCTACCAGTAGGTAGGATATATGTTTAAAGGGATTTATTTATTTATTTATTTTGCAGCTGATGAAGTGTAATCTCCCACAATTAACTCTGAGCAGAGTGATTCACTAGTCAAGCAAGCCCAGAGTTCCTCGAGTGAATTTAGCTTTGTTATCCATGTCTTAACTATATGGGGTCAGAGTTTCTCTACAGTGCTTTAGCACCAATTTAGCTATCAATTTTTTTAAAAAAGGAAGTTATATCAGTGCAACATCTAACGTGCATACAGTTATATCAATAAAAGGTGTTTATGTGTATATCTATACTGAGAAACAGTGGCAAAGTGCAACTATTAGTGAGGCCTTATTGAATATTACAGTTACTTCAGATTTTCTTCCACCCTGGTCTCAAAATATCCTTAAAACATTAGTTAGAAGAATGAATACATACTTAAAATAGATCTGCTTGTTTTGAAATACTATGGGCTACTGAAGTCTGATAACCCACCAACAGAAGCTCCAGTATACAATATCCCTTTCCCTTTTATAATTTTAAAATACCAAGGGCATGGCTACACTTGCAGATGTAGAGCGCTTTGAGTTAAACCAGCCTTCGGAGAGCACAGTAGGGAAAGCGCTGCAGTCTGTCCACACTGACAGCTTCAAGCGCACTGGCGTAGCCACATTTGCACACTTGCAGCGGCATTGGGAGCGGTGCATTATGGGCAGCTATCCCAGCATGCAAGAGACTGCAACGTGCTTTTCAAATGGGGGGGTGGAGTGTGACAGGGAGCGTGTTGTGTGTATATGGGGGGAGAGAGAGTGGGTTTTGGGGGGGTTGAGAGCATGTCAGCATGCTGTCTTGTAATTTTAGACAGCAGCAGACCCTCTCCCCCACCCCTCCACATTCCACACTAATGGCTTGCTTTGTTTCAGAGCAGGTAAGCAGCCGGCTGTCAGAAACAGAGCTTGCAAAGGGCATATCCGCATTCCTGCGGCGATTCAAAAACAATGACAAGAGTGGCCACTTGACGTAAGGGGATTATGGGACATTTCCGGAGCCTGATCAGAGTGCAGGAATGCAACACCTCGTTCACACTGGTGCTGCGGGGGCGCAGCAAATGTTATTCCACACGCCGAGGTGGAGTACCAGCAGCGCTGTAGCCACGGAGTCAGAGTGCTCTACGTGCCTTGCCAGCATGGACAGGTAGTGAGCTAGTGCGCCCGGGGCTCCTTTATTGCGCTGTAACTCACAAATGTAGCCAAGCCCCAAGTCATCCTAAATGAAATGCTACTCACTCTTAGGCCTGGTATACACTATGAACTTAGGTTAGTATAACTATGTTACTCTGGGTTGTGAAAAATCCACACCCCAAGCAATGCAATTAAACTGACCTAACTCCCAGCATACACAGTGCAAGGTTTCTCCCATCGACCTAGCAACCACCGCTCGGTGAGTTGGAGTTTTTCCATTGACATAGGTAGTCTTCACTGAAGCAATGCAGCTGCACCACTGTAGTGTCTGAAGCACAGAAAAGCCCTTACTTTCCACTGTATTATTGCCTGTCAAAGTATCTAATGGATTTTAGGGGCTACCAGAAAAATATACATTTGGAATTCCTTACTCTGTAAATCCTTTCCATTTCAAGAAGTATTCAACCTTCCCATTCACTACACGTCTGTCCAGGACTTTCTCCACAACAAATTCTTCAGGCTCTGCTTCTTCAACTTTTTTACCTTTGCCATTCTGTTTCTTTCCCATTTTGTGCTAAAAAAGTTAAAAATTATATTTATAATAATATATTTTATATTGCTTTATGTAGCTATTTCAACGGTCAAGCACAACCTTTACTCACTACATAGCAGAAAAATGGCAACTTATTCATACTGGGTCCAGGGCTCAATTTCCTATTAGGTTAGAGCAGGTAATCTGAGTGCCATTTTTTGTAAGTTCCTGAATAAAATACCCAAAACTGAGAGAACAGTCTTTTTTTAAAGGCAAAATGTTTTGCCTATGCAATCAATGCTTCCTTTCCCTTAATTGTCATTCCACTCTTTCCTCTAGTGCCAAAGACTCAAAATTTACAATAACTTCTACAGTAAACATAACTGAACACCCACAAAAAAGGCAGGTGTATAAGGAACAGCATAAAGGCATACACAAAGTAGTAAGCGTTAAAGGAACTGTGGGGAGGTGGACCAAAGAGAAAGGGAATGATATTCTGGCTACTAAGAAAGAAAACCAAAGGCAATTGATTACTACTTTCCTCTCACTCCCTCCAAAAAAAGTAAAAGTGTGGAGGGGAGAAGAGATAAAGACATATTGCTATACCAATCTGGATGCCCAACAATAACCGATAACAGCTGCCAGCAGAATGTGTTACTTGTAACATTCCATAGCTGCCATTCTCCCCCCATCTTTACCCATGGACCAATGTAACTTTCACTCAAACACATGTTACAGAGGTTCAAAAACCTAAGATAGCTAAGCTTAAAGAACAGCACTTAATGTACAAAATTTATCTTATTAAAACTTTACAGAGATGTTGTATTTAAGTGTACATTAGATATATTATTGTATAACATCCTTTAAATGCTTAAAATAAAAATTAATTACATCCACATCATCCTCAAGGCATTCCAAGTTTAATAAGGCACAATTAAATGTATTAGAAGGACACAAGGTATTTTTCAAAATTTCCTTGTTAATAATCCTAAAAGGCTTGAAACAAGTCTCGTACTGTCACATTGAGTGTTTGGAGCTCTATGGGATTAAGTGCACAGTTTTGGTTGCCATTTTGGATGCGCTCCTTATGGGAAAGCATTCAAAATGGCAGCGGGACTTTGAAGCTCCCACAATGCAGTCCTATGGGAGCATTAAAATTAAGTAGTGCCGTCACATTTCCTTTACCAATGTATTTTCCTACTGAGGACAGGCCTGCTATTATAGCATTGGTCATGAGTACTATCTGCATTTTGAGAAAGCAATGCATCAGTTTGTTTTGAAACTCTACATAAGTTTTAGATAGACTTTCCAGAGTTTGAGGAAGGGTGGGTGTTTTGTTTTTTAAAGGGGATATCATCAAGTATGTCAGGCCCAAATTTAGTTCTTTCCACTTTTTGTAATTCTTTTCAAAAACATACGTAATCCTTGAGGATCCTTTTCCCAATTAGCCCTTCCCAAATGCCACTTCAGACTCCTGGTTAGAAACCTACAAATTGAAGGTTCATACAGCAAAATATAAAAAAGGAAATAGGTTTCAAGATTTCTATTCTAAACAGTGAGCTTATACATATAAAGATACCAAATGTGGTGTTTGTTTGGGGGATAGGGTGATTTAAAATAGAGCAAACATTTACAATCAGATTTAAATCTTTATTTGTATGTCCCAGAGATGATATTTTGAGCAAAGCACCAATGTCTGAAGAGTGCCAACTTAATCACAGGTATTTTTTGGCTGAGAGAGAGAGAGAGAGAGAGAGAGAGAGAATACAAGAAGAGAACAAGGATGCAAGATCAAGACAGAGAGAAAGGAAAAATATGAAGATGTCAAGCTATCCTCTGAAGGCAGTTTCCTTTAAAGAAAGAAAGGAGTGGAGGACAGAAGAGAGAAATAAGTAGAGATAGAAAAATAGCAAAAAGTGAAGAACAAGTGACATAATGCTCATAGCACAATAGTAGCAACACTACAGTTATAGTTGATGAGTAAACATGTATTCAAATGAATATAACTTTGTGAGAGATTCTCCTTTGGGCTTCGACTCAGTATCAAGGGGAATTATTTTGAGAAAGTGAAAAAAAATTAATTCACCCTCTTATTCTCATAATTTAAGTACAAACGCTTTTTAGACCTCTAAATCAATTAAAAAACTTAAAAATTTGGCATGCACAAAGCCTTCCATGGAAGCATATGAGCTTTGTTTTTAAAAAAAGACGCTTGCTTGAAAAACTGTCATGAACACTTGACATTTACTGGACATTACTGATTTAAGCATGCCTCATATGTACACGAGGACAGATGTTCAAACTTGTCTTCTTGTCCCTCACTACATTCTATTATGCATATCTGACTGCATGGCATGAAGAAAAATTGTGCATTCATCTCAAATTTTGGATGCTCTGTGGATGGATGCTTCTACATGCACTTCACCCAACAGAAGCACACAGTATCTGAAGTTGTTAATGGAAAGAATTGTCACTATACCCGTTTGGCCTCTTTTTCCGAGTCCCATAGCTGAGAACACCATATCCTGGGCATTTTAATGCTGCATGTTCGAATAAAGTGTACTTTGCTACTTTCCCATATTCAAAATTCACATAGTAGTATACACACATTTCCTTCAGTGTATCATCACTCACCTTTTTAATTTTATACAAGTGAAAGATTATAACATTAATGTAGCATTGTGGTAGATGGTTCAGATATACAAAAGTCAGAAACATCAAAGTTACAGTTTCAAGAGAAACACTATCTGTCCCCCTCATACATTCGGAGAAGCATGGTTCCTATGGGAACCATTAGCTGGTTTTCCTGACCTGTGCAGCTAAGTTCCTAAAAAAATACTGACTACATTAATAGGTTCTCTTCCCGTCCTCTGAGCATTTCGGACCCGATATTACCCTCACTCATGTTAGAGAGTTGGGGCACTAACTTCTAATGGAGGGTTCTTAGCTTGATAAAGTGTTTGCAATGTTATTGCTTACACTGTTGCAGTCCAGTGAAAAATAATGAGGCAGTTAAGGGACAGGAGGTGATATTTAATTTGTCTGGATATGGGATAAATTAGTACTTACTGACTAGTAGTAAGTTTAACAGCAGGCTTTTTTTTAGTAAATGTCATAAGAGCACACAATTTTCCCTCCTTCCCCACATTTAGGCTATATAAAAATCTGTTTGTTTATTATTTTTCCATCAAGTAAACCTTGCACTAGAGTTCTGCACTTCTGTCCTTTACAAACATGTACTGCCATTAGTTAAACGAATATTAGAGCAACTACTGTGACATCCATTTGTCCTTAATTTCAGAATTTTTTGGCTCATAATTGAACATCAAGAAGTTTCACAGTAACTTGATACCTGTCAAAGCCCTGTTATAATGGTCCAGGTGGGGGAGACATTTAATAATCTCTGCTCCTCTGAAATCAAAGTGAATTGTTATTTACTAGTAATAGTTCCAACAGCAATCCTAACTATGCCCCGTCACATCAGTATTAGGTAATAGTACTGTTCCTGTAGTTGCAATAATTTTTCCCTTAACGGCCAAGAAGAAGTTAAAATGAATATGTTTTTGCCCTTTTTAAATACACAATGAATGACATGGGGTGCTGAAAGGAGGCTAAAAAATTCAAAGTGTTTTCTGTTAAAGGTTATTAAACAATCTTCACTTTAAGTCAGAGAGCTGAACTGGAGCACAGACCTCCATTAAAGAGAGACGTTCTTTTGTTTTGTTTGTAAGATGGCAGTTTTATTTAAGCCAAAGTTAATGTCCTTTCTATTAGCCTTACTTTCTGGATCTGAGATTTTAGTCAGAATAATGCTGGGGAGGAGAGATGTGGATGTATCTTCTACATGGAGATGCCAAGTTATAATTTTGAAGAAAAATACTTTGGTTAAATCCTTATATATTTTAGGTGCTCATGAACTTACCAATGTAGTTTTATTGGAGGCCATTTTTATTGCAGACTTGCAGAGCTTTTACTAGAAAAACGTATGACAATTAAAAGGAAGTTTACATTACTCAGCGAAAGGCATCCCAATACAATCATGGTCCTTGTTCCAACCCCCATGTGTTCACTGCACATAACATTTCAAGTGTGGATTAAATCCAGAGAACTAGATTACTAGTTTCTCTGACAACCCACAAACACACCATTATGCTAGCCATCACTCTTGCTACTGATTGTGTAGGAAGGGTTACAAGAATGTCTTTCCACCAGCATAAAGCAGAGATGTTTCAGAGAGAGGCTGGGAGAACCATTAGGATATATATTTCCTTAAACCCAATGGGATAAAAGCGTTCGGATTCTAGCAGTTAACCAAGAGATATTTAAAAGCATTTTCAAGATGCCAAAGTTAGATTTTAATTAGCAACAGCTAAGTATCTGTAGTGTAACATAGTAGTGAGTTACCAGTAACCTTGACACAGCAAGAAATACATATAAACTGCAGATTATGTTAAAGCAATTGTAATGTTGCAAATTTAAGGATCAGAAGATAAGAGTTAAGGCTAATACAGACATTAACTCTGCCAAATTGCACACATTGTATATTGAAGACTAAAATGCTTCATTAAGAAATATACATTTCATTAACTTAAATAGATTATACAAACATATGGTCTGGATGAAGCAAACTCGTCCCCTTTCCCATACAATTTCTCACACTAATCACCTCTGGGCACAGATTTCACCACCCATCCCTAGAAACTACAAAATGAGCAAGACAAAGGTAAACCTTTATTAAAGGCCAGAAGAGGCCTTTGACTCAGCAATCCCGCCCAATTCTCATCTCCTGGCAGCCAGAGAGGTGGTATCGTAGCCAAATCCGGTGGGGGGCGGGAAGAGGGTGAGGGTTGGGCCCTGCTGCTGGGCACCTCATCTTGTCTCCATTGAGATGAGGGGAGGGAAACAAAGGCCCGTGGTAGAGGAATGAAGGGCTAAGGCTGCACCATAGGCTTGTGGTGGGTGCACATAAAAGGCCTGGGTGACCTAACGGGACTAGGCGAGCCAAATCCGGTGGTTTTGCACGGAGTAGGACCAAGCCGCAGCCCAACATAGAGGGGGAAGCCCTGCGCCCCTTTCCCCTTGTGGGGGAGGGAACAGCTGTGGCCACACGACAGCCGGACCCGGCAAGTCATGTGCGTTGCCCAAAGCCACCCGCCACCATTTCACACAGCCGCCCTGAAGAGGGAGCGACGGCCCCTTCCCAGCGCCACGTTGCCCCCTCGCCAAGCACGACCATTGCGCTCCGAGGCTAAGCCAGGAGGACCGCGGAAAAACCGCCCCCCATGCGGGGGGCTTCGCTTTGTCTGCTGAACGCGCCCACTCCGCCTCCACGCTGGGTGCTACCGCGTCTCCCCAGGCTGCCCCCCAGCGTCTAACCGCTCTCCTCCCCACACCCCTCACGTTGCACCACGGCGAGGCCCAAGAACCTTCCTCCTACCTCGGGGGAGAGGCACCCCCTAGAGATCCCGGGGCTCAGCTCCCTTTTCTCCCGCCCAGCGCCGCCACTTCCCTTCAGCTGGGCTGGCTGCTAAAGGCGGGCAGCGGTGGCGGCGTTGGGCTGGGGGGGCAGGACCTTTGCAGTTACACCAAACACGAGCCCAGCTGCAAGGGATTTGGGGCGCTGCCCAATTCACGGCGAGGTTAAATTGGAAACGAAAGAAAGAGAGAAGGATACAGACTTCAATGGTGCCCGGCGGCTCGGGTTTCCCGTCTCCTCCTTGCTCCCTGCGCGCACTGAGCAGCAGCGACATCTGAGGGGGTGGGGGCAGCGGCTGGGGCGGCTACTGCGGGGTGTGAGCGCTGAGCTGCGCGCTGGCTGGCGGCGGGGCACAGCGCACAACGCCGCCTACACGCTAGCTGCAGCCTCCTGCCGCCGCCGCTGCTGCTACCGTGTCGCCAGTGCGGGAGCGAGAGGGGGGCCAGCCAGGGCTTCTCTCCGAGACGGCAGCTTGAAACACGGGGACGCGGCCTCAGCGAGCGCCTGGGCGAAGCAAGATGCCTCGCGGAGACAGAGAGAGCGACTGGGTGAGTCCCGGGCCCCCCTGAGAGCGCGCTATGGCCGCCTGGCGAACGGCCACCGCCAGCCTCTGCCTGGGCGCGGCTCCGAGGCGGGACGGGCCCAGCGCCCGAGCGCAGCGCCGGCGGGGGAGAGGCCCCGCGTCGGCCGAGGGGCTGCTGGCGGAGGGTTGGGGGGTTCGGTGACGGAGGAGAACGTGGGGGCCGGTGGGGCGAGGCGGCTCCCGCGCGGGGAGGGGGGGGCAAGTAGAGGAGCTCGGGGCGCTTCACTCCTTTGCCCAGTGGGGGGAGGGGGGGAAGATGGGGCCATGCGGCCACTTTGCCGAGGGCGGGCGGTGGCAGACCGCGGCCATTTCCCCACTGAGCTCGGCGCGGGGGGGAGGGGAGCCGCCGAAGCGCCATTTCCCCGGCGAGGCGGGGGCTGCACTCACCCTTTGTGGCGGGGCCGCTGTGCGAGGAGCTGGATACCGCGGGGTCTGCTCTTCTCGCTTGCTCGCGGGCCCGGCTGGCGGCGTCTCAGTGCTGGCGCCAAAATCTGGCCACTTATCACTTCCTCCCAGGCCGCCAGAGGCGAAGGTGCCAGCCCGCCAACAAAGGGGATCTCGGGGGCGCACACCCAATGCGCTCCGGGTTTGGCCCTCTGGCTCCTGCCTGCACCACAGGTGGGGGAAAAGGAGACCTTTGGCTAATTATATCTCTCTTGCTGCGAGGATCAGTCTCCGGGCAGCTTCGGCAATTTCCGGAAAAAACCCGAAGCTGGAGCAGACCCCGAGCCGAGCAGCTTCGGCTTTGTTCGGCCACCAGAGGTTTTCCGGCTTCTTTTGCCGGAAATTACCGAAGAAGCCATTTTAGGCGATGATTCCTGTTTCGGGCTCTTCCCGGAAACTGCCGAAGCGGATCGGCAGTTCGTTTTTTTCCGGGTAGTGCCGACGTGGAGTAGGTCCACGACGACGCCTGCTTCGGCTTTTTCCGGAAAAAGGCCATTGCTAACGGCGTTGCTGAATTTTTACTACGTTATTGAAACACAAACATCCCGCAGAAGTGCGGGAGCTCTTGGGGGTGTTTAATTCGAGTCGAGGTCAAAACAGCCAGAGACCGTTATGAGTGGGAAGGGGAGCGAGGGACAGACCACTGCGTGGCGATGCATTTAAAAAGACGTAACAGTTAAGGCAGCCATTACTAGAAAGGTTGGGTCGTATTCTCAAACAGGGTTACGTAGACCATGAGGTGTATGGCACGCAAATTTGGGTTGTACAGCTGCGAAAGGTGCGTTTTAGTTTGTAGCAGTTAGTACCTTTACGTAACAAAATACTTATTCGTAAACCCGTACGCTGTTAGCGCAGCTCTAGTAGTTGCAACTTTCCCGTTAGCTGATGCGCTTGGTGGCGCAGTGGGCGAGACTTGGTGGTTTTCCGTAGCAGAGACGTTAGAGGGGAAGGAAGGTTCTGGAAGCGCCGCCGGCGGTTGGGCTGGTGCGCAGCACAGGGAGGCGGGGGTACACGCTGCGGCAACAGCGCAAGCGGAGGCGAGTCCTAGAGCCGCCTGACAGACCGTTTAACCGAGCTCCGGTTGTGCTAGCGAGCCGCGCGCGCCCTAGGGGTGACCATGGAGGGCAGTAAGCGAACCGGGTCTCTCTCTGGCCCTGCGAAGCGCCGGGATCAGGCCGGGGAGGCACAGATGGTAATGGCGGTAACGAGGGGGAGGGGTGAATGGGGAGGGGAGGCGGCTGGGTCCTGCGGTAGGGAACCTCCACTGTGAAATAGCTGAGAGGAGTGGCGGGTAGGGACAGGAGGGTGCGCTGAGTGGAGCGGCCCCGTTACCTGGTGCAGCATCTCTCTGTGGCGGGACGGGAGGGGGGGGGGTCTGGGGAGCCGGTGCGTTGGCTGAGAAGGGCGGTAGCTAGTTCTGTTCCGGCCCGAGGGAGAAAGGGGGTAGCCGGGGCCCTGTTCCCGAGGGTGGGGGCTGGTGGAGCGGCCGTAGCCGAGCCTGCGCGGCCGGCCAGAGAAGATTTTCCCCTCCTCTGCAGCATCGCTCTCCCCAGAGTGGGCGCGCGCCCCAAAGCAGCAACCATTTTCCTTCTCTGGCCGCTGGCGGCGGCCCCTGTCTCCCGGCGCTGCCACATGGCGGGCGCTGCGCGGCCGCCGCTTTGCGCTTGATGATCTCAGGCCTTTGCGGCGCCAGTCCTGCTGCCGCGTTGGGTGGGGACGCCGAGGAGGACTCGTGGAGTCACACACGAATACGACTAGCTCCTTTTGAGTAGAGTCTGCGCGGTGGTGGGGGAATGGGGAATCTAACCCTAACCCCTCCCCCCATCCCGTAGAGGCTTCATCCCTCGGTGCTCCTTTTTTGGCGGGCACCCAGTTGTCGGATGTTGATCAGAAGCTTCCGCTCTCCTATCTCTGGCCGCCATTTTTGCTGATTATGATCTTAACCTGAAAAGGAGTACTTGTGGCACCTTAGAGACTAACCAATTTATATGAGCATGAGCTTTCGTGAGCTACAGCTCACTTCATCGGATGCATCTGATGAAGTGAGCTGTAGCTCACGAAAGCTCATGCTCAAATAAATTGGTTAGTCTCTAAGGTGCCACAAGTACTCCTTTTTGCGAATACAGACTAACACGGCTGTTACTCTGAAACCGATCTTAACCTGCTTGAGTTTGCAACAGTTCAGAGCCATTCTTTCCCTGCCTCTGTAGCTGTTTTTTTTTATAAAACACATTCCTTGTGATTGGATGCTGTCTTCTCAAATAGAGGTTTCACATTTCCCCACCCTTTGTAGATTCGTGGGACATAATATAATCTCAGAACTGGCAGACTCCTAGTTACTCATTAAAATCTTACTCATCATTCGCTCCTGTGAGGGGAGGATGCATGATGGGAAGCTTTAAAGACCACTTATACCCTATTCTTTTATTATAATTTGGGCGGGGGGGGGGGGAATTTTCACCAAGAGTATCATAGAAGGTGGGAAAACCATCAGAAGGTTTGTGTCATGTGTATTTTATACCAATTAATGTTAACTTTGGTATTAATTGATGGTATTTGATTTTATCTGAAGGGTTTTTTAAGTTGCCATATGAGACTTAGGCCTTACTTTTCACTACAAACATTAGACCAGTATAGTTATGCTGACAGAGCTCCCTAGTGTAAAGAATCTACTGGTGGGAAGTAAGTTTCTGTCAGCAGCAGAGTAATCTGTGTGCCCCTCTTCCCCCTTCACTCCCTAGAAGTCTCAAAACTCCAAGTCCATGAGCCATCCAAGGCAGGGTATGGCACAGCATCAAGTATTTGAGCAAGTCAGTACTGTACTTTGGGTGGGACATGCTATTTTTGATGTACTACACTGCAGTTAAAGAGTTGAGACTCCAATGGCAAACTTCAGAATATTATTTCTGTAGCTCATCCTAATGGAAGTGTGTGGTCACAGTATGAAAACTTTAGTACTGAAACTTACTTTATTTTTAGGTCGCAGCATGCATTTTTGTTGTTGTTGTTGTTTCCTTTTGGCTGAAACAGTTCTTTGCATATAATCTCAAACTTTAATTGTGCAAACATCAATTTAACAGGGGGACTAGGCTGTTTACTGGGCTAGCTTCTTTTTCCTTCCCGGTCATGCTGGCTGCTTCTTGTCTCAGTAACATATTGCTTGTATGGTGAAAATATTACAAAATTATATATAATTTTTAGCTGTCCTGCAAGAAACTAGTTACCAAGTGTTCTGCAGATCATCAGAAGTGTCGTGTCACAGATTCTAGTACATAAAAAAGGTGGGGAGGCACTACCTTTTATTGGACCAGCTTCTGTTGTCTTGTCTCGTCTCTCTAACGTCCTATGCCCAACATGGCTACAACAACACTGCTTATTCTAGTAATTATTTATCTTCAGAAGGTATTTCAAGCCCTGTAATCTGTTGCCAATACATGTAACTTAAAAATACCTGGTTTGGTAGTCTGCTTGCATGCCAAATGATAGTGATTTGATCTGTTTCGTTAGCATTCCTTTTCTGCCAAATACTCCAGTTAGGAGTTTGAGGTAGGAGGGTGCTTTGTGAAAAATAAAATAAGTTTATGGAAATACCTTATATCATAATGTAGTGGCCCAAATATTCCCGTTCACTAATGGTAGATTCAGGTCCTTTTATCTTCCCATTCCTTCTCTTTCAATTGTTCGCAACTTGAGTAGTGTGGGTTTTTTGTTTTTTTTTTTTTTAAAGGGGGGGATTTTTGGGGCCTGTATATGGGTTAGTACTGACTCAACTTTTGATAACTCTCTGTGTGCCTATTGCTTTCCTCAGGCTTTGCAGATTGTTTTGCAGCAGTGCAGTAAAGTAACTAGAATGATAAAATTGAACAGTAAAACATTTTACATTGTTGTTGCAAACCTACCTACTGACTGCAGAGCCTGAGAAGGGCAGCAGGATATGCAGCTATATCAAAAGCAGATTTGGTATTCTCTTTCCAATTTCGTTTAGCTATTGGGGCACACTATGGAAGTTTTGCTTTAGGCAAAATCAAGAAGCTTTCTTTTATTGGTCAGTGTGAAAATTCAACTGGAAAAAACATTGAAGGGGATACTGCTTTTAAAACTATTTTAAAAAAAAATCTTAAGTATTTTCTCAGATGCTCAGTGTTAGTTTTTGATTACCTGTTAGGCTACCTTTTCTTTCTCTCAACATGAATAGTGAAACAGATTAGCCAGCTACGCTTTTGTTAATCTCATTCTGTTCAATATTATTAGGTTCTTGTACCCTAGTCCAATGCTCCATTGTTGGCAGTATAATATATACAAGATTTTTTTTAAGCTATTTCTATTAAAATAAAAAAAATTGAAGTGTGTGTAAAACTTCAGTTTTTACAAATTCTGTATTGGAGCAAATTTGACCAAGCCAATCCTCTCATGTTCTTGAAGACTTGAAAATAACCCACTAAAATTTATCGGTATTCCCCAAATTTACCATTAATAAGTGTCTCTTCACCCTAAACATGATGATTCTAAAGGAAAAAGAATCTAGCCTTTCAAAATTACTTACCCAAGTGAGTGGGTAAGCAGAATATTGTGAGGGAATAATTAAGTATCCAATATTGGGGCAAACCAGTGTGACAAGGCATTCATTCCATCTTTTTGATGGTGTTAACTGCTCTGGAAATTTTTACTGACTTGAAACTTCTAATTGTGCTAATAGCTGCTTCCTTTCCAAGGTAGTGATTCTTCTCCAATTTGATAATAAACTCTTCAGTTGTTAATTGAACTCTTCATAACTTTGGCTATTTGTTTTGTGGTAGCATCTTGACATCTCGGTACCATTATGCTAGACGTAGTACACGCCATAAAAATTGTCCCTGATTCAGTAAACTTCGGCTGTTGGCCATTTTGTTAAGATGAATTGCTTTCATTCCTCCTCTTTATATATTGCTATTTCAGTATCCTACAATATTTAATGTACTGTATACCGGGGTGGCCAAACTTACCGGCCCTCCAAGCCACATACTATAATTTTCAGAAGTTTGAGCGCCAGGCGCACCTGCCTAAACCCCACTCCTACTGAAGCTCTGAGCCTTGACAGGTGTTTCTCACAGGGCTGAAGCCCCAGACTCCCTTTGCCCTAGTCTGGTAGGTGGAGGATGGTGGGGGGCTCAGTAAGCTGCCCTTAGTGCAAAAGTGTTGTATGCAGCTTGTGAGCCTTCCTTTGGCCACCCTTGGTATATACCTTAGTTTTCTGATGGCCTTCATCACCTGACTAGCAGAAGGTAAATTTGCCTTTCTGAAGGCTAGATCTTTAAAAAAATGAAACTATTTTTTTAAAGCAGGTAAAATAAAGTATATTATATAAGAGCTTACTGTTGCTTAGAACCGCAAAACATAAAATCTGTTTGCCTTCACGTACCTTTCCCAGAAAACAACCCCTATATCTTACTCTAAAATATCTACTTCCTTTATTGTATGCCTGATTTTTTTTAAGTTTGTTTTTTTTAACTGAGTATGTATCAAGTCAGAGTTAGCCTATGTGAATAACACTAGTTCAGAATATGTAGTCTCCTTTTTTTTTATTTTATTTGTTTTGTGTAAATTTTGCCTGGGATAGGCATGGCCACAACTTTCAAGCCTCTTTTTGATACAAAATAGACCTCAACAGTAAATGTAGAAATGTCTGTCTTGGAAGAGTACTTAAGATACAATGAGGAAAAAAAAGTAAGCTGCTTCCCACTTGAGGCCTGATCCTACTCCTATTGAAATCAATGGCAAAACTCCCATAGCTCCTTAATATGTACCTCATGAGAGCTTTAATTGTCCATATGTGAATGAATTGATGAAAGAGATTTATTTAATAGCTTAAGGTTTTTGGTGTCTGAGCCTATAAGTTTTTATTTGATTACAAAAGACGCTCCCCCACCCGCATTTTGTGTATGCCTCATATAGAAGCTTGTTTCTCCTTTTCTGGTTTGTACTGGTGAACATCAATTTGAGCACAAACACTTCTTTATATTTAAAAAAAAAAATAGCCTGCATTTTGGAATGAACAACATAAATCGGTATCTTCTAATCTGGTTTTGTAAAGAGACCACACAGCTCATCTATTATAATCTATGGTTTTTTTTTAAGAAGACGCTATTGCAGGGAGGAAAACTTGATGGCATTTCAGTGGACATTTCTCCAGTTCTAAGAGTACTTAAAACCTAATTTTAATTTTTAATATATTTGTGAGTGGAAGGAAGGTAATTTTAAAAACACTCTGAAATTGTAAAGAGCTACTTTTTTATAATATATGGGTCTGTATTGAATGGCAATAATGAACTTCAGATAAACACAATCTTTTGTTGAAAATGAGTATTCATTGACATTTGTGAACATGTCTGAAGACTTACTCTGACATTAAACAGTAGTATGGGAGAATTGCAAATGATATTAATACTATATTCTCTAAATTAGAGAGAAAAGGAGCAGTTTCGCAAACTGTTCATTGGTGGCTTGAGCTTTGAAACAACAGAAGAAAGTTTGAGAAACTACTATGAGCAATGGGGGAAACTTACAGACTGTGTGGTAAGTTGCATGTGCTAATGTATGCTGATAATGTGGACTTAAAAACTTGGTAAAAATTGCATACCATTTTCTGAAGTATTGGAATAGCAGAAGATTACTGTTGTGACGTATGTTGAAGTATTTAGAATTTTAACTGAAAATATAAATTGGTGAGTACTTACATAACCGAGACACCTGAGGCTCTTGGCCTCAGTCTTGTCTTTTTGCAGGAGGGCCACAAGTTAACTTTGCCTTATCTATGTTGGGAAGGGTAGCATTTTAATAAGAGAGCAAATGGAAGCATCTAGTTGATCCCTGTATGCTTCATGTGAGATCTTTAGAAAGCTTTATGTATAAATTGCGGTTGAAGTCAACAATTTCATGAACAATATGCATGATGAAGGGTAAAGCCAAGTTTTCACTGTAATGCAGAATTATACAGTTCAAATACTTTAATCATGAGTAATTGGGTTAAAACACCTGCTTTTGTGTAGAAAGCAGGGAAAATCTAAATTAAAGATATGTAGATTTTTTCTGTTCAAGGCCCATCACTTTTGGTTTTTATTTTGTTTTAAGTTTCTCAGAAATCTATTGGTGTTCATTACAAAATATACAAAAGGGGTAAAAAGTGGTGCAGGGATCCCATCTTTCCCCCCCCCCCCCACTGTGAAGTTAAACTTTGAGGGATAGGAGAACAGAAAAAAAGGGGGGGGACGATGACAAATAGAGACGCGTAAGAATATTTAAAGTAAAAGAAGGTTTAATCTTCGTCTGGAGCAGGTTGCTGGAGCCAGAAGGTTCTGGCTTTTTTTTTTTAGGACTTGAACACACACAGAGAGAGAGGCAGGTGTTTAATCTTCCACTACATTGTCGTACTTTAACAGACAGCTTCACATTTACACTGAGGCCTGGTCTAAAATTAGACTGACTTGACTACATCGCTCATGGTGTGAAAAATTTTGTGCCTCGTGAAACAGTTACCTAACTTCCACTGTAGATGCAGATAGGTCAATGGAAGAATTCTTTTCAGAGAGGTTGATGAACAAAATCGATGGAAAAACCCTTTGGTTGATGTAGGAAGCATCTGCACTAAGGCGCTATAGTGGCACAGCTGTAGCATAGATCTACCCTTCGACTAACTTATTAGTAACATATCTATCTAATGTATTGCATTTTCTTAACGTCATCAGTATTTTCATGTACTTGAGTGGTCCAAAATTTAGGTGAAGATTGATTAAAAACCAAATAGCAGCGTTTGTAAAACTGGGAAGTTTTTCAGTAAAAATTTGTCAAACTGAAAACGAAGAGCCTTGTTTATACTTAGTGGTAGTATGAAAACTTAGTAGTGAAACAGTAAAACTTCCTGATTTTCTTTTTGCAGGTGATGAGGGATCCTGCAAGCAAACGATCGAGAGGGTTTGGTTTTGTAACATTCTCCTCTATGGCTGAAGTTGATGCAGCCATGGCTGCAAGACCTCACTCAATTGATGGAAGGGTAGTTGAGCCAAAACGAGCAGTAGCCAGAGAGGTGAGCAAAGTACTTAAAAGCAAAGAGGCTTTTTACATTATGAAAGATTAATGTCTCTGATTTGGTGAGAAACTAGCTTATCCTTAAAAAGGAAAAGGAGTACTTGTAGCACTTTAGAGACTAACCAATTTGTTTGAGCATAAGCTGCATCAGATGAAGTGAGCTGTAGCTCATGAAAGCTTATGCTCAAATAAATTGGTTAGTCTCTAAGGTGCCACAAGTACTCCTTTTCTTTTTGCGAATACAGACTAACACAGCTGCTACTCTGAAACCTAGCATATTCTTACTGATAGACATTTCAATGCTTACTTTTTTTTGTAATTAAGAGTCTCTGGTTAGGGGCACATGCCTTTTTCCTTTCTCCTTTATCTTGTTACCACTTTTAGAAGCTTTACAGCAGTACACATGTAGACGTTGACTTGTGCCAGTTTGAATTTAGGACTTGATTGACAAAAGCCATTTCAGTTTTTTAGGTTGAGTGACTACTGCATTGGTGGGGGCTTAAATATCAAAAGTTTAATCCCTGCTGTTGTAGGTTGGATATCCTAGTAGCAGAAGCATTTGGGGAGCTGTTCTTTTTGATACTAGAGATAAAGGGTGAGATTCTGGCCTCATGGAAGACCACGGGAGTTTTGCTAGTGACTTCACTGGGGCCAGGATTTCACCTAAAGTTGTCTGGCACTTAAAAGATAGGCAGACAAATTAAATGAAGTTGTCTGGAATGTGAGTATAATCAGTTAAAATGAAAAGGACTCAGTCAGTTTATAGATCACAGTTCTGTCTGGAAAATTTGTTCCTTGCTATTCTTGCAAGTAAATGAGATTTCTCTTAACATTTCAGTTTTATCAAAATATATTGATCTATTTTTTAACTTTTCTTTTGATTACACTTCCTGTATAATTTTCATTCTTTCTGCAGCATAGTCTGTTTCCCCTCTTGCTTGTTTAGAGCTTTTCGCATAGCAACCAGAGGTAGTTGCTTTAAAAAATAGAAAAATGATTGTAAAATTAAAATAAAAAAGGCAGAGGCATTCCAGATAATACGGTTTATCTGAAAACACTATAAACTCACTTCTTGAAATTGATTTAGATTTCAAGTTGGCTGTCTTTAAGATCTTCATTAAAGAGTCCATATGCAAAACTCTCTCTTCCACTAATAGTTTTGGAAAAAATATTTGTTAATTCTTTCAAGGAATCTGGAAAACCTGGTGCTCATGTTACTGTGAAAAAGCTGTTTGTTGGTGGAATTAAGGAAGATACTGAGGAACACCACCTTCGAGACTACTTTGAGGAATATGGGAAAATTGACACTATTGAAATAATTACAGATAGACAATCTGGCAAAAAGAGAGGTTTTGGCTTTGTTACGTTTGACGACCATGATCCTGTTGATAAAATTGTATGTAAGTAAACTTCATTCCACAATTTCATCTAACAATATTGCTACTTAAGGTCCCGATATAGAGAACACATAAGCATGTGAGTAAGTTTTTGAATGTAATTGGATTAATTACATGCATAAATGTTTGTAGGAACATGGCCTTAGTTTTGAATCTTCAATTTATAAATTTGATGGGATCATGTAATAATACTACCTGAAATTATCCTGACATCTTTATGACTTCTGGATGATTGGAATTGGCATTGCAAAAATGTGAGGAGGGAAAAATTATTTTCTCTTTGGCAGTTTAGCCATTCCTGAGTTAAACTCCAGAAGCAACATTTACTGTGTGTAATTTCTTCTTAAATTTATGATTTACAGTGCAGAAATACCACACCATCAATGGCCATAATGCAGAAGTAAGAAAAGCTTTATCTAGACAAGAAATGCAAGAAGTTCAAAGTTCTAGGAGTGGAAGAGGAGGTATTTGAGTTTCACTTCATGCTTTTGGGTTCAGAGTTTTCCTAGAATACGTACATTAACAGGAATCTAAAATCCATCCTAGGTAACTTCGGCTTTGGGGATTCACGTGGAGGTGGTGGCAACTTTGGTCCAGGACCAGGAAGCAACTTCAGAGGTGGATCTGGTAAGGCTACCAGGCTTATCCCTTTTCTTTTTTTTCTCTTTTGGGTTTCAGTTTGCTCTGTAGGTTACTATCACCTACTGTAGTATTGGCAACAAAAAACTTCTTTTAGAAAAGACTAATAACAAACCTCTTATTAAAAAGAAATTAATCTTTGTGATTAGAAATAACAATGGAAAAGAATCTATATAAATGTATGAAGTCAGTGTTTTTGAGCTGTTAGTTCACTTAATACAAAGAAGCACTGTGACCTTGTCTGAAGTAATCGGAAGTTTTTTATAAAGAAAAAAGCAAAAGTGGTCCATTTTAGAGAATGTATACAAAGTAATATAATAGATTGCTAAAGTAAATTATTACAATTTTAGAGTGAGCTTTTAAGTATAAGTAATTGGCAACCAGGAAACTGCTACCTTGACTATCTTCAGTTCAAGTCCAGAAATACAGCTCCTCTTTAAGCGAAGAAGATTATTTAAGGTGATGGTTGTATGCCTTGTTTCTGACAGATGCACATTTCTTGGTTTAGGGTGCATATGTCTAAAGTTTTAAATTCAAATGACCAGAAAGCTTAAAATATTTTCTTAAGTCCATTATACTTTTCTCATATATACCCCCTAGAAATGGCTGTGGGTCAAAAAAAAATTAAGGCTAAAAATAAGAGAAATACTAGTCGCCAAAGTGATTTTATTTATCCTTAAAGAAGGTTAATCACAGTTTGGAAACTACAGTTACATTTTGAAATTTGTATTTCAGATTAATACAGCAATTTATAGTATTGAAAGTTCATGATCTGTGTTTAGGGTATTATGTTTCTCCCGCAAGAGTTGATCTCAAATATGGTATTTGTGACACCAGTTTTTGAAACTGACATACACACAGCATCTGCTTGGTACTGTATTTGTGGGTTTAAAAGTAAACTGGTTTTCTGTGAATTTTTTTAAAGAACTATAACTTGCTTTAAATTTTTAAAATTGAAGTGACATCTTTATATATTTTAAAAATTCCAGCTCACTATTAAGAGTAAACTTTTCCAGTTCCGTACAGATGAACTAAAAAATACTTCTTTCCAACAGATGGATATGGAAGTGGTCGTGGATTTGGTGATGGATACAATGGATATGGTGGAGGACCAGGAGGTTAGTGTAGGCTAGTGGGGTTTTTGTAACTTCTCATACTTGAAAAGGTTCTATATTTTCTGTTACTAATCATATTAAGCAGTAGAGCCATATTGATCTGGTTCAGGAACAATAAAAAACTGCTGATGTGTTTTAATCCTTGGTCTTTAACTGTGTGGTTTGCCATACATCCAGGGATGACCATGCCTTCCCTCATCTCCTGCCCGTGAAAACCTGGTGTTTCTATCTGCAGTTTTTCTCATTTTCTTTTTCAGCCCTAATCTCCAGTACTAGATTATTCTACACCCAAATACCTGCACTTGCTGATAAATGTATGCAAGCATAACCAGTCTGGTGGTTTTCCCTAAGGCCTTCTTGCATTCAAATCCATGTTTCTCATTTTGGAAGTATATAATACTTTTGCCACACTACTCAAAGTAATTAGTTCATCCTGATGGCTCATGCTTAGGTACGATTTTCTCCCCCATTCCTGAACTGCACACTCAGTCTTCACCCTATTAAAAAAAAATCATGTCTTACACTGAGGTTTTTCCTTTCTATACTAATGTTTTGTGTTCCTTTATGACTTCGCAGAAAGTCTGTCAAAAGAATTGGTAAAGAAAGTTAGTGACTTTTTAAAGACTTGAAAATGTAGTGTTAACTCCGGCTCTGTGTTGCTCAGCAGTGCTTTTCTAAACTATTAAGCTTTCTGTAAAATTTAGGATTTATATAAAGAAAAACCACATCTGTTTAGACCTAAATATCATGCATTGGTAACATTTCTGTTCTAATCCTTAGGCAAAAACTGCAGTCAGGCTAAACAGTTAAGGGGGAGTATATAGCTTTAAAAACTTCTATTTGTAGAAATCACCCTTCAAAACTTCCTGTTGGCCTTTTTGTCCTTCAGTAGACTGATGCTGAAGAAAATTAAAATCTTAGTTTTAGCAGAACACTGTGCGATCTGAGGTTAGGAACTGACTTTTTTATAATGTAAAGTTACTATTTAAAGGCTTATTTCATAATAGGTGGCAATTTTGGAGGTAGTCCTGGTTATGGAGGAGGAAGAGGAGGATATGGTGGTGGAGGACCTGGATATGGCAACCAGGGTGGGGGCTACGGAGGTGGTTATGACAACTATGGAGGAGGTAATACATTTGCTTAAAACATTTAACTGAAAGTTTAGTTTTGGACTAGCCTGAGCAAGATTATTGACTTGAGAACGTTTTACTTCATAAGTGTTGTCAAAACCAGTATGCCATTTTCTATGGTCAGTGGAGAAAAATAATTGACTTTAGTGACACACAGCTCTTTCTTTCGTTTTTTTATCTTGATTTGTTAGGTTTGTAATAACACAGAGAAATAATTCTTACATTTAGCTCTTTTTGTGTCAATAATACAGGCAATTATGGAAGTGGAAACTACAATGATTTTGGAAACTATAACCAACAGCCCTCAAACTATGGTCCAATGAAGAGTGGAAATTTTGGTGGTAGCAGGAACATGGGGGGAGGACCATATGGTGGAGGTATTGTATATGTCATGGGTTGAATTGGGACCAAACTTTTTAGTGGCCTTTTATCCTTTGTAGAGACCAGGGGACACGTACTGATTAATCTGTGTACAGAATTGCTGCATAGTCTTTTATAAATCCAACTTGCCAGCAGAATTTTAGAGCCAGTAAACAGTAGTGCAAAGAGTGGTAGTGGTTATCTGTGAGTGCGCCCAAAAGAAAAATACATTGTCAGCATTAAAACAGTGTGATTTCAAATAGCAAGATCACTGTTTGGTGTGAAGGCCAGTTTTCTTAGAGCTGGAACAGTTAGTTTTTGTGGTGATGGTGTTTTTGTGTGTGTGTGGTGTGCTTTTTTTTTTTTTTAAATATGTTTACTAATAGTTTGTTTACCAGATTGTACTTGGGTCAGATATGAACTTTCAGTGGTCTAGTCAATATAGAGTTTGTTTTGGGATACTAACTTCATGCACATTAAGTCTGTTTGTTTGTAAAATATGATATATGATGTAATATCACACTTCTTCCCTGCCTTTCCCGAATTTTAGTGTTAGTAAATGTCATAGGGATATCAGTCAGACAATAATTTAGTTTTGGCAATGGGTTAATTTTTTTTAATAAGCCTCCTATTTAAATTCCTAAGCATTAGTTAGGGTGATGTGAACAAATTATTTACTATGGTAGTAATTATCGCCAACTCGCTACTCGCCACTAAACTTTGTTTTTTCTCTCTCCCGTATTAGGGTCATTATAAAATTTCTGCCTTTTTTTCTTTTTGGTCAGCAGCTTCTAAAAAAGTAATGCTTTTACATGTGGAAAGCAAGCAAAGGGAAATTTACTTCAGACCAGCCTTCTGTAAGGTGTAGTATGTGGGTGGACTGCTGAACCCACATAATACATGTTGCAGGATCAGGCCCTAAGAGTGCAGCATTATCTTCCCTATTTGATTATATGTTTAAACCATTGGAATTTCTCTTGCTGCAAGAATCATGTGTTCTGTTTTCAAAATGTGGCTACCATGGCAGTTCTGGGGTAGGGGGAGGAGGAATAATCTCTCATAGAGGACAATGACAGGTTAGCTTTATATTCAAGGTGGTGCGCACATTATCATCTTGAATTAAACCAAATATAAATCTTCTTGTAAATGTGCCTGGGTTTAAAAAATAAAGATGTAAATGTCATCTATCCTGTTGTTCCACAAATGCAGGAAACTATGGTCCAGGAGGCAGTGGAGGAAGTGGTGGATATGGAGGGAGGAGCCGTTACTGAGCTTCTGCAAACTTGCCATGGGTAAGTATCTTTATAAGTGCTAAAATTGCAGTGTTTCTTGAGACTTAGCTGCAGGAGTAAAAGCTTTTTAGGATCATATTATCTTTCCTTTAAAAATTCATTAGATGGATAATTTCATAACCTATTTTTTACTCTTTACTTCTGTTGAAACAGGCTTCACTGTATAAATAGGAGAGGATGAGAGCCCAGAGGTAACAGAACAGCTTCAGGTTATCGAAATAACAATGTTAAGGAAACACTTATCTCAGTCATGCATAAATATGCAGTGATATGGCAGAAGACACCAGAGCAGATGCAGAGAGCCATTTTGTGAATGGATTGGATTATTTAATAACATTACCTTACTGTGGAGGAAGGATTGTAAAAATGCCTTTGAGACAGTTTCTTAGCTTTTTAATTGTTGTTTCTTTCTAGTGGTCTTTGTAAGAGTGTAGAAGCATTCCTTTGATAATGTTAAATTTGTAAGTTTCAGGTGACATGTGAAACCTTTTTTAAGATTTTTCTCAAAGTTTTGAAAAGCTATTAGCCAGGATCATGGTGTAATAAGACATAACGTTTTCCTTTTAAAAAATTTAAGTGCGTGTGTAGAGTTAAGAAGCTGTTGTACATTTGATTTAATAAAATAATTCTAAAGGAAATACTGTGTAATTATAGATTATTTTTTTTAAAAAAAATATTGTAAAGGCAAGGAGTGGGTAGTATAAGGTCCCACAAATAATACAAAGCTGTTTGTTGTACATGTAAAATTAAATGCTGGTCAGAAAAAGTATGTTGTCTGTAAATTATCAGGTTTAAAATATCTAGATAACTTAAGGGATATCTCTGCAAGGAGAAACACCTTTTTAGATCTTTTAGATGCTGCTTCTTCAATGGCAAGGAAAGGAAATATCCCCAGCGAGGTACTCTTCCAGGGACACAGGTCTAGTACAAGAGAACTCTTGAAAACGGCACTAAGTTCAGCCAGTCTTAAAAAGCTGCGCTGTATTTCTGCAAAGCTTTAACTACCGTAGTTTTATAAGGATGCCAACGAAGGCTGAGGGTGTAGAGCAAAATAGTTCTAAGCTTCAGTTAAACTTCTTTAGGTAAGATCTTATTTACTTTTCCTTTCTTAATGTACCAAAAACAAGAAACTAATACTATATGACAGTCTCTTTCAGTATAGTGGTTATCATATGTAGTTTAACATAGCAATGAATTGAGTTAACCATTACCAACTGAAGAGAATTTTGTGAATCCTATATTTTTCTTGTATTAAATTTTGACATCACGTTTTCTTAAATTTCAGCTACTTAACATATTTTTTTCCTACTGGAATCTAGCTTTGATATGAGCCATGGACAAGCATAGACTACTGCTACTGTACACTGCTACAGTTGAACAAATGAGACCTGCAAGTGTCCATTAGTAAAGTTTTGCAAGGGTTCCATACCCGATGTTGGTAGTTAAAATGGTAGGTCGCAAGTTAATTAAATCATAAAATGTTCTTTACACTTTGCAAACTTCTTATTTTTCTGGGGGTTTTGATGGTTACAAGTGCAATGAAGATAGAGTAGTTGTACAATAGTGTTAATGCTGTTGGAAGTGAAATGTACTGCATCTGTCTGTTCTGGCAACAGTATTTTATGTAGCGCATTGCACCCTGAAGGATCCCAAGAAACTTTAGATTGTTTATATAATAGAGAATTTTCTTCACTACTGAAATGCATCTACCTCTCGTAAGGAATATGACACCCATTCTTCTTTAATGCTGCATAGTATTTCTTTAGGAGGGCAAGAGAAGGTCTTCAGTTGTAACTACAGGTGGAATTTTATATACTATTACCTAAATTGGAATTTGGCTAGGATACTGAGATTTCCACTGTCTTTTATAGTTCTTACCGCTAATAACTCTTAGCAACAGATTCTGTCACCCATATGCTCTTATTGAAATCAGGAAGATTTTACATTCATATGCTATTCAGCATGTGTAAATTGGTAGAATCTAACCCCTAGTTTATTTTTTGTATTGGTTTCATTGCCTGAAACAGGCTGCACACCTAAAGAACAGGTATACAACCAACCAAAGGTGTATTCATTTTGTGTTCTGCACATTAATGAATTGTTTATAATTTTTGAAACTGCTGAAGTTCTTCCATAGGTAATATGGATAGACATACATGATAAACATCTTCAGATACACTTTATTTTATTTTTTTTCCTTTGGCAGGAAGGTGCCATGCTGCAGGTAACAAATGAAGAAGTGGTCAACCACAGACATGCTTCAAGAAATAAGATATTCTGAATCATCAGAAAATAATTGCTTTTTCTGGCTTCATTAAAAATCTATAGGTTAAATGAATCCTGATAATAAAACATCTCCGTTAGTACAGCCTCCTGTAATGCTGGGGTTTTTAAAAATATAAAATGATAGTAATAACTGTCTGTAAATCTCTTGAATAAAATTCAGGCGGGCTAGGAAAAGCGGACCATTAATGTTATGAAATAGCAAATGTTATATGAATAGAAACATTAAATGCATATTTTTATCGCGTTAAAATAAAATATTTTTATACCAAAGTAGTTCTAGTGTAATGATTAATAAACCTAATGTGTGTTAACAACACTGTTTACATACAATTAAGTTGAGCCTTTGAGGCCTTTCAGAAACATACATTTCATTTTGAGGGAGATTAAAACAATTTGACAACCATATTGATATAATTTGCATATCTGAGTAATCATTCACATGCGTGTACTTGTTCTGTGCTGGGAGAAACAGCATTACGCAGTCAAGAAGCTACTTTGATTTTGGACAAACTTCATTTGTTTCTAAATAAGTAGCTTTTTGGCTACAATTTTTATCCTACTGTATGAAAAAGTCTCTTCTGTCTTTGAAAACTAATTGCTTAAGACAATTCAGATGAGTCAAAACTTGTTAAATAGGGTCTTATTTAGAAACAGCTTTGCATTTAGCATGTAAGATGTAATTTAAAACTGTGATCTACCAAAACCCAAGTTGACTTTTTTTGTTTGTTGCTTACTGTGTATAATATTACACCTGGGGAAATTCTGTTCCACTGCGCACACACAGAATTCATGTCCCCTGTAGATCTCTCTGCTTCCCTGCAGGAAAAATTACTTTCTGATGGGGAAGCAAAAGGAAGCTGCAAGAACTGTCACATGACCCCTCCCCAGCAACCAGGGTAAATTGTTTCAGGTGTCCAGAGCATTCGGTGGAGAGAGAAATCACTGCAGGGCTGGTGGCTCCTACCCTGCCCAGGGCTCAGCTGCTAGTCCCGGCTGGGTTGGATGGGACTCTCTCTCCCCTTGCAGTGAGGGGCTGGGGCCAGGTCAGACCCACCCCCAGAAACATCCCTCAGTGGCATGAAGCTCTGCGCACACAACCTCTCCCCCTTCCTCCCTACTCTCCCTCCCCAGTTTCTGTCTCCATTCTTCCTCAGCTGCAGGGAGAGGAGTCTATATGGGGAGGTGCAACCCTTGTGCATCCAGGACTCCCACCCACTGCTGAGCCTCACCCTCTGTATCCAGTGTCCAGTTGCATCTGTACCAGCCCACCTAGCTCCTTCCCCCCGCCCCCCATTCTTGGACCCCCATTCCACCAATCTCTATCACCCACACCACACTGCTGAGCCCCTCTACTGATCTCCAGCCATCTTCACCTGGGCCCCCTCAGAGTCCCATTCCCCCTGCACCCGGAATCCCCAATGAGCCTTTGTGCATCCAGATCCCTCTCCTGAGCTTCCTGCACCCAGATTGCCCCAGCCCTGGATTCCTCCACACATGGATCCTGCCAGGCTAAGCCTGCTTGACCTGCCCCTGGGTCAGGGGTCAGGGCTGGGCATGCATGCAAGAGACTGTCCCTTTCCCTTGCTATCTTGGTGCACTTGGTGTGGAGGGGCAGGGCCAGCCATTGCACCTCAGAGTCACCATGGTGGAGCTGCAGAGTGATCTCCCACCTCTGTCCAGCCAGTGGTCTGTGCTCTCCACTGTCATGCTGGAGCTTCCACATTTATTTTGTGAGAAACTGCAGAGTTTTAAAATACTGTGTATGGAATTCCCTCGTGAGTATAATGTGTATCCTCTGAATTACACATAAGAGGTTGAAATACATTCCAGCTTAGAAGTTACTTGGAAAGCTAAAGCATTTCAGCCTTGTATTGTTTGACTGTCCACTGCACTGAGTTTAAAACAAAGTTGGAAGCTATTATGCTTAGCTTTTCTATAGTAATAGACATTCTTATGTCTTTATGCATTCTTGAAAATAGTTTAAAATAATGTTTTGAGGCTTTAGTATAAAATTTCTTTGGTAAAACAATGTAGCAAACCTTGAATTGCATAGTTAATTGCAGGGCTGCACAGGAGACTGCCACTAATCATGATTGACCTAGGGTCAGACCTGTAGTCTCTTGGTATGCTTTCTAATTACTCAGGAGGCTTCCTTCCCTGCTTGGACATGTAACCTGATTTGAGCCAGGTCCGGTTTTCAAAAATTTATGTTTTGCGTTCAGCAATTCTGTGTTCGCATCCCAACTCACTTGGCGACTTAAGGTGCAAATTGGAAGAAAAACATTTGGGGAGGAATTCTTGTGCCTTTTGTGTTTGTATGACTCCTATTTTCTATTTGAGATAAAATATATATATATATATATATAGCAGTACTTCACCATTGTGTGAATTTAGCAAAGGTGAAAGCATAATCTGTGTTTCTCTGAGGCTATGCCACCTTCTCTCCCTGTAAAGAGGGGGTGGGGGGCGATGGGGGTGACATAAATGGGGAAACATGATGCTAAAGCTGTGGAAAGCTGCAACATTTTAATAGATTTTAAGGTGTCTCACTGTAGCATACTTCATTTATTTAGGAACATTCTTAAGAATCTGGACAAACAGGATTCTTGTGTTCAGTGGTGAATTTAGTGGAAAGTTGTGGTTTGTAGTCAACATAATACTAATTCTAGTAATTCTCAATAAGTCCTGCAATGTGTGGTTATTGCTCCTCTGTCTGTAAATAACCTGTCTTCCTTTTTTCCTTCAAACTACTATGAAGCCACTTTTTTGCAGAGTAAATCTTCATTTAAAAAGTTATTTTGCCATTCAAGATACATGCTATGTCTCAGTAAAAGTGAGTATTACTGCTAGTACTTCGCTTTCATAAAACTGTACAATAAAGAATAAGGAAAGATCATGTTCATTCACTTAAACAACATCAATTTCTGAAATTACCTGTGTCTGCCAAGGAACTTCCAATATGCTGCAGACAACTGAGGACCTGGTTGTAGATTTTGGGATTGGGTTGCCTCCTGTTCTGTGGGGCATTTTAATCTTAAAATGGTCAAGAGTAAGGCTTTCCTCCTTCATTCTTCAAGGTGGAGGTGAATGAATGCATTACTTTGGATGGCTGGAGGCCAGCAATGGACCAAAGGAAAGCAAACTCCTAAGTTGTGCAGGAGTGTGGCATAGCAGTGATCAAAATTACAATTGATGCAGAGCCTGGTGTGTAGGCAGAGAAGCAGGAATTTGCGGCCAGTTGGCCCCTCTCTTTCCAGCCTCCTTTTCTGTGCATCTCCTAAGAGATGGATGGGATTCTTCAGATTCTCAACTACCCTGCTCTAAAGGATAAAATTTACAATCTGGAGATCTG